CCCGAACTATTAGGTTAATTACATCATGTACTTATGTCCTTAACAAGTTAAATGACTTTTTTTTTCAATTATATATATATATATATATATATATATAGAGAGAGAGAGAGAGAGAGAGAGAGAGAGAGAGGAAGTGTTCTTACATCTATCTCTTATTTTACTCCAAGAGCCCTTACCTTGCAAGAAAAAGCAACACATTAACTCCATCATCAACTTCCGTACATCTTACATTGATTTGAAAAATCAAAGAGAAAAATATATATGTTTATAAGCTTATCTCAATTACTTAATTGGTTATATTTGTTGTAAATAATTAGATTTGGACATTATTAGAGGTGTTATAGTATGATAATACATCTTCATCTTTTTAATAGTCTTATAGTCATATTAAAATTTTATGTATCTTGTATATATTGGACAGAAAAATGATTAATAAGATGATTGATTAATTCTCTTCGTATTTTTCTGTCTTTCTCTTTATATCATTACTTTTCCGCAATCAAAACCATACAACTATTCCATATATATATATATATATATATATATATATATATATATATATATATATATATATATATATATATCTTTGCCTTTGAATTTGAAATCGTAAATTCTAACAATAGGTTACCATATAGTATGTATATATACACATTATATTCATATATGCATACACTGCACAAACATATATTATTCAAATTTAATTTTTCTTGTCCTGAAATGAGTAGCTGAGTAAAGCTTGAATCTCGTACTAGAAAGTTATTACGACTTCAATTCTTACTAAAATTTTCTCATATGAACTCGTTGCACATTGTGTTCCTAATGAATGTAGTGCACACTTTCAAGTAATGTAATTATAAGTTTCTCCCGTCAATTAAAAAATTATTTTATAGACCAGAAATTCTTCCACTTAATTAAAAGTGCAAGCTGGTTATTATAATGTTTTTTTTTTTGAAGGGCCGGTTATTATAATGATATATACAAAAAAGTCAATTGATAAAATGTATGCATCTTACTTTAGAAGATTTGTTCAATTCATTCGTTAAAGTCTCCAATTGATTGTGAAAATCAAGGAAAAGATATGATCTAGGTTGTCATATTTTCATCTTGGTTGTGAAAATCCAGAAATTTAAAAGATATTATACTTGAAATAGGAAAATATTATGTGTGCCTCCACTTTATATACACTTTCAACTTTTATCTTCATACACAAAATTTTGATGTAGATATTTGTATTAGAATCACAAGGAAAAAATAGCCTAAAATTGAGAGAGTAAGATTTGGAAGTACATGTAATATAACTCCTTCAACTAAATATACATATTCTTTCAATGATCCATCAATGAACATTGGTCTATTATCTTAAATACTGCCTACTGAACAATTGAGTTAAGATCATACAGGCAACTAATATCAAAATTGAAAGCAAACAAAGGTGACATACATGAGAACCTAGCCAATTGTTTTACGTACGATTTAACACAGACGGATGAAAATTATGAAATTTCCGACCACCTGAAAATGATCTTAAATTTAGTCGAAAGTCTTGTTCTGATCACTTTTGGTATCCGAAAAAACCTTTGTTGCTATTTTCGATCACTTTTTGCTTTCAACTTGATATAAGATTATTTTCAGATGGTCGAAAATTCCATAATTTCCAAGAGGGACAAGATTTATTTTTAAAGAAATATGCAATGTTGCATAAAATCCTCAAACTGCCACCTAATACATAATTAAGTCATTAAGTGTGCCATTGAATTATCCTAAAACTATCATCATTTCAATCCATGTATCATGAATTATGAATATATAGTAACGTCATGTTGTTGTATAGGAACAGATTATCTCTATAGGAAACAAAGAAAAATTATCATCGTACATTCAACATGTGATCTCACGCGAAACGAAGTACGAAGAAAATGGACATATATACGTTAGTTTCCTTTAAAAAAAAAAAAAAAATTAATTGGTTGCGCCTACAAATCACAAAATCACACAAGAAAGGTAAATCATTTCAAGAAGATCTTGTGTGACGAGTTCAATCGTGGGCAAGAATCAAACTCATTTCTAGTATAACAATCATATTCCACCCACTCCATCACCGTTTTTCATGGCATATATGTTAGTTTCTTGCTTGAATTAATTCCTGTGTTGAATATATCGGTTTATGATATTTAATATTGTAATGAAAGAAATATTTTGTCATTATTATTACTAGTATGATACCTGTGCGATGCACATGATGAATATTGTTCATCTTATTGTGTAACTGTGTGAAAAATTTAAGAGATGATGTAATATATAAAAAGTTGGATCAGGAATATAAAATGGAAAATAGAAATAATAAAGAAATTACTTTAACATACAATATAGAAAAATAAGAGTGACAAAATTATAAATTATTGAAAACTTCGTGGTATATCACGTTGGTTGTTGATGTAATAGAGGAATTTGAGTTCTTGGCAATCAATATTTTAAGACCACCTGGGTTGTTTACTCGAGAATACATAATAGTAACTTGCTGTTGTACATTTTTGCACGACAAAACTGAATGAGTAGAACAACTGGATTAGGGTTGTCATAGTTGACATGCTGTAATAGTTGATCAACATATTGCTCCCAAAATGTGCAAGGTAAACGTCTCTATCTAAGAAGAGAGAAAAAAAAAAAAAAAAAAGATTGTTATAAGGCGTACACACATTATAAAACACATATGATCCATGATTAAGTGTAAAGTTGATTAATATAACATGACTTACTCATGATCTTGAAGAACAAAGTGGATGAACTTGGTGTCCCGTCCATTAATTATGGTTGTACGTGGAGATTTAATCGAGACAATAGAACCAACCAAATCTATAGAGATTTATCATCATAACAATAACAACTACATTAAATAAATAAATAAATAAATAAATAAATATATATATATATATATATATATATATATATATATATATATATATATATATATATATATATATATATATAATACTTGAAATGGTAAACGAAATGAGGACCGTAAATAAGTATTACCAAATAGTTCGGAAGCATTAATTTGGGTAGGACCAAGTTGATCTAAAGCTTTCAACATGTACTGTCATGTTTGGAAAGTCGTTATTGTTATACTCAAAGACTTTTGTAGAATGCATGAACATGATCTTGTATTTGTGGTGCGTAGTTTTGTATCTCATGTCATTTGTTGCAACGATAAAATTTTGAATGGAGTACAAATGACCCTCAAAAAAGATTTTTTTAAATTCATCAACTTTAGCCTTTTTTTTTATTATTATTATTAAATATTGGACTTTTTTGTAAAGATAGAAAAGATCATGCACACAAATTTCAAACCTGTAGCTATTGCAAATTGAAACCACACCCACCAGTCCAAGGCCAATTAGGTCAAAACAAGACTTACCATTCATGATGTTGAAAATATAGAAAAATCCATCTTACACTGTACAATCCATATACAAATAAAACACTCCTAGGAGACAATAACTTTCCCGGGATCTAAAAAAATAAACAATAATCCTACGACCTTACAACTATATTCGCAACTTGTTTATTACTAAGTAATTACATAGACTTTGCAATTCTTATAATGCCCTCATTTTCAAAATGCAAGTAAATGCATGTCACACATGATGTTCGTTAGTAGGTGGTAGATATATACATGTATTCCATATCCTTAATTAATATATAGGAACGTTTATTGATTTTGAGAATAAATATACAAATATTAAGGAATTGAAGCAACAAAAATGTCTTTTTCCATAGTCACGAGACCAAATTGTACATCCTAACCCAACCCTCCATTGGCTCATATCTCTCGAGGAAAACAACCACTAACCTATTCATTAATTGGAAAATGAGTTGCTCCAAAAGGGTAAACAATTGAGTAAAATATGTCACACATATTAGTATTCTTAGTGTGATCGATTTACTTACAAGACCGAATTGTTTTTTAAATGCAACTTAATTGATTGATGAATTCAAATAAATTAATAAATTAATTTACCAGTAAATAGATGACGCGCACATACACACATATAGGAAAAAGTTCAAATGTGACGACACTCTCCTGTGCGGTCGTGCGGCGATTTTCAGAATACACCAATAGTTTTAACAATATGCACCAATAGTGTAAGAAAAACACACAACAATGAAATGTAAAAATACACCAAAGAATATACAACACACCCAAAAAAAATACACCATATACCTCCCTACCACTAATATAATGGTGTATTTTCAAACATTGTGTGGTGCTTTTAGTCATACCTAATGGTGTGTTGTTGGTGATGCATACCTAATTTGTGTGTGTTTTTGTAGTGCATTTCCTAACGTTGATGGTGTATATTTTGCTTAACTATTGGTGTATTCTGAAAACCGCCACACGACCTCATGGGAAGGGGTCGACGCACCTAAACTCGACTATATATATATATATATATATATATATATATATATATATATATATATATATATATATATATATATATATATATATATATAAGAGATGGTACATATTTTTAGGAAAACTACGGTTAATTGGCTTGTTAACTACAAAGTTTTAAGTTCAATTTTTTGTGGAAGTTGTTTATTGACTTTCTCAATTTGAACCAGTAAGTTATGGACAATGTAGCTTATACTGGTTTATCCGAGAGCAATCCAAACCGATCGAGTTAATCAAACAATTGACCTAGTAACTACAAAGTTCTTAGGACAACTTCAACCGAGTTGATTGATGAACACTTGATAAGTATAAAGTCGTTCCAAGTTCAACTTCTCGTGTTACCTATTAATCTTCTCAATTTAAACTAATCATCTATAGACAATTTATACTAATCACCTTATTAATCATATTTTCAGACAGTTGCTACGGATTTTCACAATTGGGATCCAAAGGCTGCGCTAACATATGTTATTTTCATTCTCCATGTACATAGCCAGCCGCCACCTATAAATATATATATGTCATATCTCTCATTTCTATAGCTACATATACATACAAAGTTACAAACACACATACATACATATATCATATATGCATGAAGGCATGATGATGGGCACTCAAGACGAGGGTATAACGTTGGAGCTGATACGCCAACACCTTCTCGGAGACTTTGCTACCTCGACGGCGACGACGGCGGAGGCCTTCATCGACAACCTTAACTTCTGCTTCCCAGATAATAATGTCTTCACCAATCAACAAACGGTAACGGAATTTTCAACGGAATTTGTTCCATTACAATTTTCTGTTACAGATCAAGATTTTTTTAGTGGGACGAATTTCTTCTCTGTAAAGTTCGAATTTTCTAATTCGGACTTATATCAACCCGACTTGCCTAGTGTCGGTTATTTCAACCCGCAACCCGATTTCCCCCAGTTTTATGAAACCAAACCCGGCATTTTTCTTGACCCGCAAACACCACCGGCTCCGAATCCAATCGCGACGGAACATGTCTCTTCGATTCCCGGCGGCCGGAGAGAATACGGGGCTGGTTTGACGCGTGTTAATCGCGCCGGAAAAGGGAGGTATTACAGAGGGGTTAGGAGGCGGCCGTGGGGGAAATACGCGGCGGAAATCCGAGATCCGAACCGGAAAGGATACCGGATATGGCTCGGGACTTACGATAACGAAGTCGACGCGGCACGCGCTTACGACTGCGCTGCATTCAAGATGAGAGGTAGCAAGGCGATTCTGAACTTCCCGATGGACGCCGGAAAGTCGCTGCCGCCGGCCAAAGTTAACCGGAAACGGAGGAAGGAAAGCAAGAGCAAAATGGCGCTAAAAGATTGACAGTTGATGTTGGAAATACAGTTAATTATGTTCTATCTACGGCCAGAAACTGTAATCTAAAAATGTGAAAACTGTTTAATTTCTTTTACTTTTTTTTTTTTTTTTTTACAACTCGAATGTTTTACTTTCTTTTTATTTTTAGAATATAATTTAACGTCATGGCATTGCAAAGGTTGTATCTATGTGGTTATATATGTTTATATTTAAAGGAAAATGCGTTAATGTATCCAGTATGTTTTTCACACTATGTTTTATATTCATTGAATATCTATAAATTGACTGTCATATTAGAACAAAAAATTTATGACAGATATCTAGTATTACTTTATATATATATATATATATATATATATATATATATATATATATTTATAATAATACACTTGTCACTCATTTATAAATTGACTTATGATAGGATCAGTTTGGTTTTGCAATCCTATAACCTAATTAATAATTATTCTTTAGTCACCTTAGCCCGCAGCCACTAAATCCAAAATGAGTGACTTCATCCAACCAAGATATTTTATCTTTCAACCTCAAAAGATTTTGTCCTAGGATATGGTGATATTTTTTTTATGTTACCCTCCAATAATGACCCATAAAATGGCAGGATTGAATCCCGATAGTGAGATACTTTTTTTTTGTTTTTCTTAGTACTACTTACTCTGTTACAATATAGTATCTGTTCATAATAACTTTCTCACCATAGTATTTGTTCATAATAACTTTCTCACCATTCCTACTGGATTAAACCTATGACCTCCCATTTGAGAGAGTCACTACATCACAATGGGGACAGTGCCCCCCACCCCCAAATACTATCACTCCATTCCATTATACTTCATCGCATGTCATTTTCAAAGTACACATATAAGACATACACAACAACTATAGTCAAAATCAAAGGTATTAATTAGAAAACATAACTTTGGGAATAGCCAATAATTTGTTATGTCATGATAGGACACAGATGTATAAAACATTCCCCATGAAAACTACAGTACATAATAAGCTGCATTTTCACAGGCTAAACATATATCATACAGGTCCTTGCAACATCTGTGCTATAGAGCTTGTACATAAGTTACAGAAGCATAAAATGCATAATACAAATACAATCAGTTTGAAGCCTGGCAAAGAAGCTCTTGATACATCCCTCCTCACCATCCCCGAGAAGAACGAAAATCTCGTAATCCCATTGGTCATTAATACTTTAGTCCTCTGAGCTGTAGTCACTGGATTCTTGTAATAACGGTACAGCAGCACAGCAAAACAGCTCCTTGTCTTTTAGGAGAAGGCAGCTCCCATCCGAACTCCATTTCAGATCGAGGACAGAAAATTGAGGTAGAGGGACGTTAATGCAATAAGCGCCCGAGGGTGTCCACATGTAGAAATGGGGGCTTCCGGTACATAAAACTAGGCGTGTGCAACAAGGGTCCCAAGCTACTGCTCTAACGGGATCTTTTTGTATCAAGATGGCAGCTAGCTCGAGATGATGTATGTCCCATATCCACAGGACGGTTGGCATGCTGTCATTGCGAGTGCATATATATTGACTGTCGTTGCTCCACGACATCAGGCCTGCCCAAAAGAAGAGAAGACTATAGATCCTGCTTAACGGTATAACAAACTTAAATAACTTGAAACAGGATTTGTATGGGTTCGTGACTGAATAAGATATTTGCATCAGAAACAGCCTTACCGATTCCCTGTTTGGGGTTTGGTTTATCCCCAGCAGGTTTTTGAGTAGGGAGTGTAATAGGCACTTCCATAACATCATACCTGACTTGAATTTGTCTTTCGGGAGCATTATCTGGAAAAAAAAATGTTAATGAATTTGTAATTAAATATGTTAATCGGGCAGCAATGTATTTTGCCTTCAAAGGCTTGAGTTGAAATTCGAGATGACAGAAAGGAGTGGAAAAAATAGAGAATATTATATTTTTCTACGGACCCTAATGTTTACCATTATTGTGATGGGAAAAATCATCGCCCAATGATAATTCTGACATATCAAGTTGCAATGGCTCATCTACTTCCTGAAACGTAAAAGAGAACTTTAGAATGCCTTCCAAAACAAAAAATGTCCCGTATCTGCACCAGTAAATGAGAAGGTATTCACCTTAAAAACGGCAGCACAGCAAGGACCTCGAACAGCTGACAAGTGCACAAATTCTGCAAATACTTTCCATGTCAAGTGATTCAAAACTCGTAGCATTTGGTCATAACTACCTACAGCTAAATACTGGCTGCAAGGTGACCATGAAAGACTTTTCACACCCAGACCACTCTCATATGCTTGATATTTGGCCAGACACCGCCCATCTGGTGAATATATCAAAACCTAAAGGAAAGCAGAAGCAGCATACTTATGAAACCCCATACAATAACTGTACTAAATCAGCCACATGTCTAATGGTCAACTTCACTAATAAAAATTAGAAGAATAAAATGAAGCCCTTATAAAGATAATTAGCACAGCAGTCCCACTCTCAGGAAATACGAGGGAAATTATTCTCATAATTCATTTATCAAATCAGTTAAATAATTAGAATGCAAAGTCTTGACAGAAGGAGAATCCATGATCATAAAAAGAGCATTGAAGGTAGCACCTTATATTCAAGAGGAGAATCCCAGATTACTATGGCACTATCATCGGGTGACCATTGTATATCAGCCAAATCCAATGTATCTACAGCGAAAACACCCATTATCTCCCATGTATGGCAAGACAGCAGATTGACATAGTCCTTGCAATCACGTCTTGTGCAAATTGCAGCAAATTTTCCATCCTTGGTGAAGGATACTCCCTTAGAACCATGCTTTGGCCATTGCACATGTATGCATGCAGTGTTGAGTAGTGACCAAACAGTTAACCGTAGTTGGAATTCAGATGTAGTCAATATGTGTCGACTGTCAGGGCTCCACCTAGCATAGGAAATACCAGCAGGACCTTCATCTATCTTACATGTCCATTCAGGTTGCGTCAGTGACCATGCTTGGATCATCGGTCTCTTGTAAAGACCACAAAGGATGTACTGTGAATCAAGTGCCCATTCAATGTATGTAATCTTATCCAAGCATGAAAATAGTTGCACCACCTATTGCACAAACAGAGATAACAACAGCATTTTTTCAGTTCCTAAACCGTAAAACCACATGCAACTTAATAATAGCTTCCTGAAATTTCATTTTTACTTCATTATTATGTCCCTCTCAGAATAGATATTGAAATGTTCTCTAACTTTCAAAAATCACTCCCAAGCAAGACTTTTTACTGATAAAACTCCACCGTGTTTTCTCATTTACTGGATTACAGAAACTGCAGGTAGTTCACAACCAAAATGTGTGCGCGCGCACCCATGTAGTGGCTTGGCTGCGGGTTTACCTCGTCATCCAAATATATATATATATATATATATATATATATATATATATATATATATATATATATGGGCAGGATCAAATGAGAACCAATGTTTACGTGTGAACTGCACAATCAGGCATTACAAAATGCACAATCTTAAAATTATGTATTCCATGATGCATAATAGGTAGTTGAGTAGTTCACACGGGAGAGAACAGCTCAAAAAAAAAAAAAAAAAAAAAACGCTTCAAGGCAAAATGGATGTCAATGATCTTTAAGTGTCTCGAACTGATAAACCTTAAGTGTCGAACTTATGCACTTAAGTCCCGAACTGATGCATTTAAGTGTCAAAAGTATGCACCTTAAGTACTGAACTGATGCAACTTCATTGTCACAGTACAAACCTCTTACCTCAAACCTCAAGGATGTAAAAATTTCTAAAGGTGCCAAATAAAAAGAGCTAGCTTATAATTATTTTTTTTCCAATACATTCTAGCTATACAGTATACATTTTAGTATCAACCCACTGAGCTTAGAACCAATAGTTTCCATACAATTAAACCTTTTTTGCAGAACTCTACTGCCCTTGATACCGAGATAAAATAGTTTATTCAAACGGCAAGCTATGGCTACCAGGAAAAATAAACAAAATGTAAAAGATCAGCATTTTTTATCTTGGGCAGAGAAAGGTCGTACCTTGAGTGAGAGAGCTTCCCGAATTACAAGGCGGTAATCAACGGCGACGGCGAGAAATCGAGCATTTGGGGAGAAAGCACACGGGCCAGATTGTTTAAACGCTTCTGTAAAGTCCATTGAAGCTCAAACCTAAAGGATTGTTTGCTTCAGATGTCTGGGGAATTCACATTGCTAACTCTCTCTTGCTTTCTAAAGGTTTCCAAAGATTTATGATTCGGAACAGTGGATCTGAAGAGGCTTGTGGGATGTGTGATGGGGTTCAAATCATCTTTGGATCTCTGTAAATCTGTAATGGAGAAGTGGACAGTGAAGAGTAAAAAAAATGTGCCCCTATTCAATTTTTGAATTTTACAGTTGCGCTACACTGAACCGGGTCGATTCAAACCCGGAACATTGATACGACATCGGTTTTGAATCGGCCCAAATGTGCTCCAATTCCGGTCATGTAGTACGGAAATGAAAAATGAGAAAATATAAAACCAAAGATGTAAAGAAATGTTTTATGAGATTTTATAAATTTAAGGAGAAACATTTTTGAAACATTAACTTTTAAAATTTTTATGCATTCTATTTGTTTTAAACTAGTTTACTCCATATTGATAAGAGATATATAGAGCATATAATGGTCGTTAGTTTGATCTTGGCTAGATGGTGTGAGTTAAGAAATTGACATTTTCGATTAAGCACTTACATATATTTAGTTATAGTATTAGTCCAAGTCACGTCAGAGTCAACACGTGTTATGACTGACTTGACAACATATTGCATAAGCGCCACATTACATAGACGACGTTATTCACGGACCGTTTAACAAATAAAAAGCTGAATACCAAAGTCTCTAGCTATTTCCTTAATATCATACATAAGAAGATTATAAAATATGTCACCAATTGACTAATTATGTATTTGACTTATTTTTAATATCAAGCCCGTATTATACTCAGGATAATCTTCATTTGCACCAAGTTCGAACTCCCGAATCCCGACGTCCACTCACACCAACCAAGCTCGTTATATTTGACTGTTTTTAAAACTCAATTCAAACTATTTATAAGTAATTTTTTTGTAATATTTTATTTAGTATTAATGCAAGAAAAATATTTTCTATATTCTTAGACATTATTATATTAAAAATATTATTAAATATAAAATTTATAAGGATGGTTAGTTAATTAAACGAATTAATAAGCCGGAGCACGGGATCTCCATTCTTCAGTTAACGGATTTTAGGGTTTAAGATTCTCGCAGTTCACCAAAATCTCAATACTGAAACAACGAGGGAATCTTCCAATAGCTCGAGCCTAAAGGTACGATTTTTAGTGTATATAAACTGAATTAAGCTTCATTAGTTTTTTTTTTTTGTTGTTTTTTATTTATTTATTTTTTAATGTACTAAGCAATGTTGTTTCTGATAGCTTGCAGAAAATGCTGCAGAGATGGAGCAGAGCTGTTACTCATTTGAGTAGGATTAACTCACAGAGGAGCATGGAATTGGGAAAAAATTTATGTGCTTTATCGAGCCGAGGGCATTCGAAGGTTGCAGCGGCGGATGAGCCGGATGCTGTGGATTCCACTCAGAGAAGTAAAAATGAGGTTTTAATTCTAAAAGATCAATACTTTATGAGTTTATGTGGTTGTTGGGTAGATGTATGCATGGTATCGAGGAACTGTTATTTATATGATCTGTTTCAAGAAGTTTGATAATCAATAGGTTTGACAAATTGGCTGTGAAGTGTGTTTAGGTATACCATTGGTTGGATTGTTGATGGGGAGTTAATATTTTGAGTATTTGAGGTCTAATTTTACAATAATAAGTGAAATAAAAAGCTAATTGTTTTGGTTCGCAATAGAATCAAAGGATTTCACTTTGCAGCTTGAGGGTATGAAATCCTTGAAAATATAAGTCGAGGTCTTGTCTACTCTGTCCTCGTCATGCAACTTGAAATGTGAATTTTGAAGTGTGTATCAATTATGTGTCCCTCTGTTGTGAAGAAAGAAGAGAAACAACTCCACGGGCAAGAAGAAGAATGGCGTGTTTGTAAAAAAATTATCATGTGTTTGGCATTTGAATAGGATCGTGGGCATAATCTTCTCTTCAGCAACCTAAACTGTTTCTGGATGATTTTAACAAATTCTGTTTTTTTATGGTTATACCCACGTCAAAACTGACAAGTCATAGAAGTCCTCCAGTGTTGAAATAAGACTTACATGCATTCACATGTACGTGTTTCTTGGGGAATTGGTGATCATTTGCATTGCATCTCTATTGTCCAACTTGCTTGCTAATGCTAATACATAATGTCATTTACGCAGGTAAATTTGAATAAGATGTTTTGGTCTAAACCTTCTTCACTAGCCTTGCCCCTTGATTCGCCACAAAGGATAGAAGAGCCGCAATATGAGGGTATCAAGCATTTTATCCTGAAATTGATGCTGTTTTACAGTAAACAAAGCACAGCCATTCGAGGGGCAAATGTTATTTATCGCCGCGTTACTCATCAAGTTGATAGACCTGCTATATATGATGGTCAGTCTATCTCTGCTCTATTCCCAAACATGAAGCCTTTCATAAAAAGTTGTAATCTTTTGAGTATGGCAACATAGAGAGAAACCAACTTCATGATTTTTTTTTTTTTTCTAAATATTTTCCACATAGCCCTCTTATGGAATTCAGCAACAAGGAGAGTCTGTTACTAGTAAAACTTTATGTAGCTTTGTTCTAATAAAAATCATAAGTGCCAAAGCACCGCAAAAAATCCGTGTCACTTAGTTATGCATAGAATGTGTGCAGTATAGGTAGCCCAACAATTTTCTAACAACCTTTCAATGACTTGATTACCTCTTCATATTTCACAATCAAACAAGTGTTATGAATTGTTTGGTCTGAAAAGGTAAACTCTCTCTTTCTATGCTTTCTTCCTCCATAACCAAAAAACTAACTTGAACCTATATATTGCAGTATTTAGCTTGGAAAAAACATTTAAAACAACATTCTCCTTGCTTGTTCTTCATATGTGGCTATGCTTGCGACGCTTAAAAGAAGAAGGAAAGGATGGTTCTGAGCTGGGACAATATTTGTATGAGATGTACAATCATGATCTGGAGTTGAGAGTTTCTAAAGCTGGGGTAGTTATTGAACTTCTATCCTCTTGGCATTCTATTGTCAATGGTTCTTGTTCTAGATTGATTTTGTTTGTTTGCATGCCAATAGTTTCAAAGGATACTCAGCTTTGAAATAAACTATTCACATTACAAATTTAAGGGCAAAACCTTCATCAGAATGGACATACTCATTCCAAATAAAAACCTTTTCAAGCATCTTTGTTCATGTCCTTTATCCTACTTGAAATTGCAGGTCAACTTATTATTGAGTAAATGGATGAAGGAATTAGAGAAGATATTTTATGGCAACATTGTAGCTTATGATGCTGCCATTCTTCCTGAGGCAAAGCTAGATGAGTTGCAAAATGTGATTTGGAGGTAAAGCATCAGGGTGTTAGTTCAATAAAATATGATCTCTCTCATGTATTTTTGTAATCAACACGCCTTTTTTTGGAACATCAAATTCATATGCACACATCTGAATTATTCCTTCATACTTTAGCAATTTGACTGTTTTCAACAGTTGAGAATTATGACTGTTAAATTTTAGCAAGAAGCATTGATATTTGAGGTTTAGTGTAGATTTCATATATATTATAGTTTAATAATGTTGCCTGAACTAGTTATTATTTTATTTATAGGAATGTATTCTCTGATGATGGCACATTAACACCCGATGGTCCTGCCTTGCTTCCTGTCCAGGCAAGTTCTCATTTTTTGCCACATTCTATGTTACTATCACTATCCCTCAACTTGTATTTGTTATAGTAAGAAATATGCTACTCTTGATCTTAGCTGAAGGTAGAAATGGACTAATTATGTATACCCTGCTTATAATTGTGTACATTTCTTAAGATTCAGAAGATTTTCTTTTCTACTTTTTTTTTTTTTTTTTGTCTTAATACTTTCTTTTTTACCCCCCCCCCCTCCCCCCCCTCCCCCCCCCCCCCCCGCCCCCCCCGGGTATGATTGGAATTTTTTCCGTTTGATTTATTTTCCATTAAATATAAATTGCAGGCTATGTCAAGATATGTTCGTCGAGAAGCCAACTGTCTGTCATTGACAGGTATGTCATGTAATCACATATGTAATGGTGTCTAATTCATTTTTTCGATAAGTAGCAATAGCTTCTGTGGATTTTCTACTTCTTGTCCTTGAGTCCCTGCCTAGGAAGGAAAATATTGAGTGAGGACCTTTTGTGTTTGCATGAATTAGTCTTCCACCATTGATAACACATTAATTTAAACAAGAACCCCACCCACTCAACCACCAAAATGTAGTAGATAAACTATTGAGCAATCATGTAGGGGCAATACGAAGGAAATAAAATAATAAATCTCTTGAAAGACGTTCACATCCCAAGGTGAAACCCTACTTTATTATTCAACGAGGAATGGAAGTTGTCTGTCATTGATTGTTGGATGTGCAAATCTTAAGAAATCTCCCCTTATTTTACTAACGAGGCTCTTGGATGGACAGATAAAGCTGCTGTGTTTTCTGGGAACTTCATGTTCACCCCATTGGAAGGAATAAAAATTTGATTTCGCAAGCAGTTAGCGTTGAAAATGAGATCAGCGTCCAATGAAATGATGCAGCTTAGCCATTGATTCACAGTACATTTCAAGATCCTGTTTACAGCCTATTGAAGTAGGTTACTGAATACATAGGCAAGTAATATAAGGTTCCCTATCCCATATTTTACCTGAAAGATATTTCTCAGTTTTCATTATTTGTGTTGATGGGAATAATCTGTTGGCTTCTTTAACCCAACTCGCAAAGTTTAGCAGAAAATGTAAGACGTTTTTGACAAATATTCATTGTAACGATTCTGCGCGTATACGCCATGAACAATTATACCTATTTGATGTAAATTCTTTACCAGTTTGAGAATGGGAAATGGTCATTCCTTCTGTTGAGCTTTTCTGGGAAAATTATTCCTTGCAATTTTAAGGATGCAACTTTCAAGAAAATCTTTGGTTTTTTTACATTGAATCTATCTGATGTGTTTGATTATATGGTTTCTTGCCTTCTCTTTATATGTAGATACTGTTTTTATGCTTTTTGCAACCAAATTATTTTTATCAAAATCTGATGGGAGGAAACTTCTTGCTCTGCAAGCTGACCCTGAAGCCAAATAGGATGTTAGGGCTCCGAAAGGGGTGACTAAGTGAGTGGAGCATAATTCTTGTACAGGGAGTTACAAGTTCAAATTTTGCCAACACCCTCTTGGTTGAGCCTGTCTGATTTCTCGTGTGTGTGTGTGTGTGTGTGTGTGTGTATATATATATATATATAGAGAGAGAGAGAGAGAGAGAGAGAGAGAGAGAGAGGATGGTAGGTGAAACAAAAGTTCTTCAAATGAATGAAGTCAACTCAACCATTTCACAAGCTTGCAAAGCAATCTTAATACAAAACCATAGCTTAAATAGCCTCCTTTCCCTCAACACAGAATCCAAACCATCTTCTCCTCTTCTACTATTGAAATGAAACTCAGAATCAAGATAACCAAATCAGCCAAGCAAACTGCATCGGCTGAACGAGTTTCCTCCATAGATGACCTCTTACTCGAGATATTGCTACGTCTACCTATCAGATCTCTCATCCGTTTCAAGTGTGTATCTAAACGTTGGCTCTCTCTCATAACCAACCCGAGATTTTCAATACTCAGAAATCCCAATCCTAACCCGGCAGTAGGCTTGTTCTTGCCTCTCCCAACTTTTGGCACCAAACCGGATTATGATTACATCCATTTGGGCACTCATAGCCACACAAATCCTCCATTCAAGAAGCTTAGATTCACTGAGGAGCCTTCTGGCATTTACATTCTCCAGTCCTGCAATGGACTGCTGCTTTGCAGAAGCTTTCTTGCTTCCCAAAGTAAACGCAAGTACTATGTTTACAACCCCACCACAAAACATTTCTCCACTCTCCCAAAAACATGTCCTGTTACTAAAACATCCAACACTGTCCATGAAACGAGCCTGTCTTTTGGATGGTCTCCCCACTACAAGGTTGTCTGTGTTTCCAAGATCATTCGCGGGATGAGCTTAGCTTTTGACCCTGCAAGCTCACCTCACTACAAAGTTGTCTGCATTCGCGATTCTGAGTCTGCTCATGATCATTATGAGATCGAGGTTTTTTCATCAGAAACCAGCCACTGGAGAGCAGTGGGCGATCCATTCCTCTCCAACGTCAATTTCAGAAACAGCGTGTACTGGAATGGCGCGATACATTGGATTAGTACTTGGGAAAATCTTACCATTTTGTCTTTTAACGTTTATCAGGAAACGAGGGGAACAATGCCTGTTCCACCTTCTCGCGAAGGGGGACATGTTGGCTATTTCGGGGAGTCCTGTGGACACTTGCATCTCGTCGCGGTTTATGAGCGTGCAGGAGATAGGTTTGATGTGCATGAGATGAAGAGTGACTGCTCTGAGTGGTTTGTGAAGTACAGAGTTGATGCTAAACAGTTTTTTGCTGACCTTCCTGAGATGATAGACTGGTATTCTTATTATGCATTCTCCATTTTTTGTCTGGTAAGAGGTAAGACAGAAGAAGATGATTCTTTCCTCGTACTGCAAACCCCAGGAAAGGCCATAAGGTTCAATCTTGTGGATGGGAGTTTTGACAAGCTTTGCGATTTGGAGGATTCCCAGGAACATGGCTCTTTAAGATACCTTGAACATGCTTTCCAATATGTTGAGTCTCTTTGTTGTGTTTGAATCCATGACATCTCCTAGTACCTGCAAGAATTGTAATATAAATACTCGTCATTTTTTGTTCTGGATTCGATCGCTTGTGTGCACATAAAGACTAAAATCTGACCAGTGAGCTGATTGCGTAACTCACAGTGGCTCTAGAAAGGTCCTATGGGCTTAAGATTAATCCGACAAAGCTGGGATAGATCACCTAAGTTTTAAAAAAAAAATGTAATATAAATACTCGTCCTTCTTCTATGGAGGGGATCCAATTGGGTCAACTAATTTACCAAAAAGTAAGATATAGTTTAAGAATTATCAAAACGGGTTAAAATTATTAGCCCAACCCACTCGCCATGCTTTGATTACATGGCATTCTTTGTTTTTTTGCCGTCCATCAAAGTGGGGGCCTTGGTAAGTATGAGCATTGCAGGTTGAGTCTTTTTAAACCGAAAAAGTTGGCGGGCTTTAGCGGACCGATGACCCGCTTTAACGGCTTATATTGTTGATTTTTAAAATTTTATTTAATTATGATTAAGAATTTGGTATATAAAGGATAAGACCATAAGACTAATTCCACCAAATATTGTATATTTTGAGTAATTTGTATTTATTTATTATTCTATAAAAATAGTGAATTAGTCGTAGGAGACAAGTGGAGCATTCTTATTGGGTCCAAACCGTTGTTGTGTCTTCTTGTTCAAATGTTCAATCTTAACCAATAAGGCAACAGATATATACGCATAACGTTTTGCATACAAAGGTATATTACAGACTTATTCTGCAAGGTCTCCATTTTCATTTCTCATAAGCGCGGTTAGGTTTCACGGTTTTCTTCTTCTCCCACCAAACTCGACGCCCTTTGCAATAGAAAACCGCAAAAAAGGTTTCCTGTTCAAAGGGTTTCATAATCCAACCAAGAAAAGCATCTGATCTGATCGCTGCAAAAAGGTGGGGAAAGAAAAGAAAAGAAAAAAAAAAGGAATTCCCATTTGACGATTCATTTCTTATTCCTCCTCTTCCTGTACGTATATACGCGGTCTTCTGTGTATATATATATATCTGTACACGATCGGTATACGTACATTCCAAAGGGATTTTCTTGATTCCCGGAAAATGAGTGCTTTGAGAATTTCCCTTTTCTTGATTCTGTTTTCCTTCGCTTTGGCAAATGAAAATCCGGATGCCCATGCTTTTCCGAGGCCTCTGGTTATTGAATACCCGGAGAATATTGAATCCCGTTTTGACGATGAGGTTCGATTGAAGTGTGCGAGCTGGAGATTTGCCGGTGAGGCTAATAATTTGAACCCATGGAAGACCATCCCGGCGGAATGCGCTGGGTATGTGAAGGATTACATGACCGGAAAAGGCTACGAAAGCGATCTTCTGAGAGCCTCAGAGGAGTCTGGAGTTTATGCAAAGAATTTGGAATTGGGAGGGGATGGAAAAGATGTGTGGGTGTTTGATGTGGATGAGACTCTGATTTCAAATCTCCCTTATTATTGTGAGCATGGTTTTGGGTATGTCTCTGATGAACATTGATTCTTTAATTTGATTCCATTTGATTTAATGTTGATTAGATAATTGTGATGGTTTTGTTGATAACATTTGATTTACTGTTCTTATATACTGTTAAAGTTTCGATTTTGTTTGAGGTGGTTGGATGGATTGCTGTTTCAGAATGTTTTGTTGAGCATTTGATCATTGATATGTTCTGTTTTTAGGTTGGAGGTCTTTAATAGTGTGGAGTTCGATAAATGGGTTGAGAAGGGGGCAGCTCCAGCAATAAAGTCAAGTTTGAAGCTTTATCATGAGATTAAGAGGTTGGGGTTCAAAGCTTTCTTGCTGACAGGGCGAAGTGAAAGACACAGAGAAGTTACAGTGGAGAATTTGAAGAATGCTGGATTCCAGGACTGGGATAAGCTCGTTCTGAGGTGAGTTTGAGGTGGTTTTCTCTAACTACTCTTGATAATGTCTGTTAAATGAATGATGTTTGTGTATATTGTTGAAATATGTTGAAGTGTTTGGGCCATAAGATTACGCCCTTAGCCTGTTCCTTGTATTTCATAGCGAGCATGATTCTGAATTTATTTGAGGTTAAACCGATGTGCAAAACATAAGATCAACTAATGAAGAATCTTTTCATGAAATGACTATAAGAGAGAACTTGGTTTCTTTAAACATGTGACTTTTGCGGTTTTGCCCTTCTGTGTTCATAGAATCTGGATACCTTATCGCTATGTAGATTTGCTGATTTGGTTAGATGGATTGTATTGATTCTTCAACCTAGTGACTCTTTGTACTTCAGTAGGTTGAGAAAGTAGTTATGAACAGATATTGCATTGTAACAGAGTCAGTAGTACTCAAAAAATCGAATAATTTTTTTTTAAAAAGAAAACTATTTGCTTTTCAGCAGTCATATAAGCTTTTTTTAAACACCATTCAAGTTAGATTTTTTTTGCTACCGATAGAAAGATTGGCGATAATGTGATATTGAAACTTGATAAACTAGAAAGGGCCATTGCCATTCATCTTTGGGAAGTGGGAAGTACATAGCACAAAAAGCCTTTGATCCACTTATTTACCCATGTGAGCATTTTGCTGCTTTTCATTGTAGCGATCCAGATCTATGATGATGTTTTCTGCTTTATGATTTTGTGAATGATGGCAAGAAATTCCTATCTTTTTGAGCCTTTCAAGTAGGAAATCTTGCCAAAGTTTGGAGTTTTTTTTTAATGTATTCTTAGTACGATGAAAGATGATCCTACATTACCATTGTATTCTTAGCATTCTAGAGCTAGTGACTAAATGTTTTTTTGTCCCGAAACCTACAGGCAACCGGAGGACCATGTTAAATCAGCAACGACCTATAAATCTGAGAAACGGAGTCAGATGGTGGAAGAAGGTTTCAGGATCGTGGGCAACTCAGGCGACCAATGGAGTGATCTTCTAGGTTCATCATTGTCTCAACGGTCTTTTAAACTTCCAAATCCCATGTATTTCATCCCTTGACACTTGCTAATTCGATATTTTTTGAGTAAATTCTTGTAAAAACGTTAGCAATGAAATGGATGTACTGTTGACCGCTTGTAAGAATGGAATGAATTCAAAGATTCATTGACTTGGCTCATTTATGATACAGTTTATACTTCTGTCTTGTATTGCATGCTCGAGTCTCGATTTCCACTTCAGATTTCCTGTTACATAGGAAAAGACAAAACCTTTTTCATGTCAGGTACTTGAAGTTTGTAATTTAAGGTTGCAAATATGAAATAGCTTTCAAGAATTGCTGATCAACTTAAATGCAGTTGAGGTGGTGCTGTTGTCTGTCACAGATCAAAGGTTGTTGTACCAAAATGTCAGTGCTTTCAGTGTGAAAACTGTCAGTAGTTGAATAAAGAAATCTTGAAATCTTTGTGATTTGCAGCTTCCTAAGATGTCTGCTTCTGAAAGTCAACTGTAATCTTGAAATTCTGCAGATTTTACTAAAAAGACATCATTTCCCTAATTGCTCTGTGATCTGATTGTGCTCAAATTCATATCATCCTGATACTGTTTATTCATAGGGGATTGCTTTTGTTGTCGGCACGGGCAACTCCAGGTAGTAGATTGAGGGTAAGGACTTGAAATCGAGTATTTACAGTTGCAGTGTTGAAGTTCATCCAATATGGAATCCATCAGACATTGATCCTCTTATTTAACAGGTCGTTGAGTTATCGTGATTTACCCTTCTACAATTCTGTCGAGTGGAATGTAAGGATCCTGAGAGTGAGAGACTTCGCCTTTTGAGGGTGGGGATTGCTTTTGTTTGAGGTTGTTTTATAGTATAATCTACATGTCAGATCTTCCTTTGTTTATGGGGGTTGGGTGGTTGGGAGTTGACTGGTGTTAGAACAAACTAACCATTACTTTAGGATGGCTGTCTGTCCAATCCATGGCTCAATGAGGAATAAAATAAATAAATAACCACCTAATTAGGTTTCATCTTAAGAGATACTTTCTCCGTCTCCTTTCACATGGTTCGGTTAACGAGACATGACTAAAGTAATTTTAAATTTAATTTTTTATAATATTAAGTTTAGTACACTAAAAGTACTATTGAACATGAAAAATCAAATTTAAAAATAAGTAAACAATACTAAAGAAAATAAACAAAGAATAAATAGTTGGTTTGACCAATAAATAGTAAGTATGACTGATAAAATGGGACAGAGGAAGTATAAATGACTGATAGCACGTTAGGTAACTCCATAAGAATTTGCGGACTAATATCATCTAAGATCATTAATGACTAGAAATTTAAAAAAGAACACAATAGTATTTCCATAATTGACAGTGCACTAAGGATCTATATTAATGCATTCGCTTGTGTATGCCCTATTAGTTATGCGCGAATGTCCTATCATATATTTTTAAATATGATATGGTAATTACAAAAATATCATCAATTAGAACTTTTTATAAATTTATATATTAATTTTATTTGTACAAAAATGAAAAGAAAAAAACTAAATTTAAGTTGATTTTTTTTTTTTTTTTTTTTTTTTGTGACAAGAGAAATATACTTAAGGGTTTGAACTCTACTCATATGTAGTAGTCTGTAAATTATACAAATAAAATAAATTACACTAAGACGACCATATGTGACAAATTCAATCAAAGGATATTTGCATGATTATTTTTATTACAAGGAGTGGTTGCTGTCAATTATGCACTAGTGAAAAGGTAGAATGAAATGCCTTGGATACAAGGGAAAGTCAACCAAAATGATAATAATAATAAAAAATCCATTATGATTTGTTTTTTCTTTTTTCATTTTTCTTTACACAACATCAATTAAGTGGTACATGAAAGAGATGGGCTAATAATTGTATTTCTTGTAATGCAAGTATAGGCAGTAAATTTCATTGAAGATTTTAGTTGATTAATTAATTGAATAAGAGCAAATGGGCCAATCAAAACAAGGGCAATGGTCCATTATTTGGCTGGGCATTTTGGCAAACAATCATTTTCACTTGCCTAAGTGCACTAGTAAAAATCTCCATAGAGAGATTAGACAAATCAGCTTTAATTGTAGGGGCCCCTCTTTCACTACCATTAATAATTATAACACAACCACCACCTTATGCCACATGAAAATGATGTTACTTTGGGTAATAGCACGATTATTATACTTAAAACGTTATGAATTTAATTTTTGTCAATATTTTCTTGGTTAATCTCGTTACATGATCTTCAGACAATAATTGTTGTAATTAATGTATCTTCACAAGGAAAATATACAACCAATACTCAAGGGTGTGTAATAAGTAAACCCTACTCCTATGCTTAGTCCTATGCAAAATATGATTACTTCTATGTACCATTATCCATGTATCTTGTGCTAGCTGTGACACTTCATCTTCGCTCATATTCACTAACTTGTTAGCAGATATTAACGGTGAAAAAGAACTCTTTTACCCTGGTTGGTAACATAGTTAGCTTATTAGTTAATTTTGGCTTATTTGATCACTATTAGCTATTTTGACTTGGTTAAACAATCAATATGAGTGTTTGATTAATTAGTTTTTTTTAACAACTTATTCTTCTAAAATGTTAAAATTCAAAAAGCTGCTCAAAGTAATTTTTTCGATAAGCTTTTTGAGAAAGTCATTTTGCATATGTAATCAGCTATCAATTCAACTAATTAAGAACTAATTTACAAAACACTTTTATACAATCAGCTAATATTATCAGTTAATCAAACCAACTAACAACTATTTACCAAACACACCTTAGTAAAATTTAACCAAGTGCCAAAGTATAGGATTTGTTGCATAATGTAGATGCAACTATTAGTAAATAGTAATAACTATACATGCGCTATCATTGGGAAACAGATAGTCAAACACACAAAGATCAAAACAATTTCTTTTTGGTTTCCAAAGAAAAGGTATATGGTGACATTACCTTCATGTTTCCTTGACTCTTTTTATTATTATTATTATTATTATTATTATTATTATTATTATTACATAATACTTTTTGCATAAACTTTTAAAGTGTCAATTGACACGATAACACTTAATTTATATGCAGTACCATATCAAAATAAATGGTAAAGTTATTGAGTTTGCATCCGGTGAGAAAACAAAAAAAGAAAGAAAAAAATGTGACAAAAATACATTTTATTTTATTTTTTTAACCAAAAAGAAAAAAAAGAAAAAAAAAAAAAAAGAACATTATAGTAAGAGATTATAGAAACCCTACTATCATATTACATGTGCAATTTTTATATTGTTCTTTACCTAATTTTGAAGAAAGTAGACAGAGACAAATATATCCATATCAATCTTCTGGTCCATGCACTGCACATACATCACACTTCCCATTTTCATTATTCATCTATCATTTATTTTGTTTTGTAGAATAATAAGGTTGAGATACATAAAAATCAATAATTATCCCATATTTGAGTGTCACTTATACTTCTAATATTAGTCATTTTAGAGGCAACACACCCGAATTGACTAGACACTTGACTTAGTAATCACAAGGCTCAAAGTTCGACTTTATATATGAGGGAGATGTCTATAAGTCTTCTCGGTTTGAGTTTTGGTCAATTATAAGCATGGTTGCAGTAGGCGCTAGGCGCTAGGCGAGCGCAAAAAAAAAAAAAAAATAGTGGTAGACTTGCCGTTTGACAATTTTAATGAGGTTGTTTTCAACATTCAATCAAATAACACAGCCAAATAAATGAAATAATGATAATTTATAAGTCATAACATCATAATAATATTAAAATCAATAATTAATGAAAGACGACATCAGACAAAATCGGTCAAAAACAGACGAAAATGGTCAAAATCTGATGACTTAGCCGAGTTGGCTGACTCGGCCGATTTTGGCCGCCTAGGCGGCCGGCCCAGGAATGGCCACCTACACACAAAAACGGCAAGGCTTGGTGCCGCCTAACTCCTAGGCGGCCGAATTTTGCGACACTGATTATAAGCAATTTAAATTGATTTACATATTTGTGCCACGCTCATTAATAAATGCACCCATAATACCTAGTATAACTCTAAGAAAAGTTGTTTGAGTTGTACAGAATGTAAGAAGTATCAGCGTCGATTGATACATTACAATTTTAATTTCATAATTTTACATTATAATTTAGCATTGTAATATATATTACAATGCTAAATATAATTTTTTAAAAATTTCTTTCACATTTTTTCCTTTTTAATTTTCAAGATATTATTTATTTCAATAAATAATATTTGGCTAGCATGTATCTAAAAGTGCTGTTATAAATCATTTTCAATTGTACCTAATTTGTCAAATTTTATTATGGGATATATTTTCATATTTATCTATCGATTAAATTATTTTATTGTATCTCAAAAATGGTACAAAAGCCCACAGATTGACCTTTCCTGTCCTCCACTACTTTGTGGGGTCTTCTACTAGTGGCACACCTCCAAGAAAAATGCATTTGGTTTGTTGTTTCAAAGGGATAGAAGTTTCTTCCTTGATTTTCTCTCTTTTTTTTACAATAAAAAAAAATGTCAAAATAATAAATTCCTATATTTTATATAAAAGCTTTTGATTAATATTTTATTTAATTAATTAAATAAACTGTAAGCATAGTTTGTAAAATATAATTAAAAATAAATACAAAAAAAAAAATAAAAGAAAGCTGCACTTAGTTTTTTTTTTTTATTTTTTTTTTTATTTTTAAAAATTATATAGATATCATAATTTGGGTGATTCTTGACAAAATACTTGTCAATTTTTAAACAAAATGCCCTAATCTATCTTTAGCCTATTGGTGAACAGTCCATCTCATTGTTTACTATATGAATGAGAATTCTAACTTTGAATTGAAAAGGCAACAAACTTAAAATAAATCTATGTATAGATACATCCGTAATATGTGTAGATAGAATTAAGCCTAAATTTTTTAAAAGATGCTTCAAAATTTGTAAACCTAATTAATAATGATCATAATGAATTGTCATTTCATCTACGCATAAGTTCAATTAAGGTTATACGTCAAATATTTTGTATCAAATTTTATTATTTACGCAACTCACTTGATTAAATTGTAATAATATCAATTAATCCACACATAGTAAGTATTATAAAAGATGTAATAATGCTTAAAAGCTTGTGGTTGACTGACAACCGCATTGGCGAATTATAACTTTATATTATAATGGTTTGATCCCGACCCTTTCATATTGTAAAATTATAAGTTTGATTTCAATCTACACCTTTCTGCTAGTACTCATTGCACATGATCTTCTTAGTGCGTTTTATCTCTCATGTGTGATTTGTGAACTATTACATATAAATAAGATTGAGGGTTTGATAATAATAATGAAAGATGCCACAATATGTAGGTTATATATGTTAATGATATAAGATTAAGTACATAAATTGATATCAAAAAAATGTACAAACAGTTTATGAATGGAGTTTAATGTTTTCCCAGGAATTCAGTACTACATTAACTTCCAACCTTCCATACCTTAAATACTTAAATTCGTCCCATTCCCCTCTCAACTTTCCCAACTGGCCAACGTCTTCTCTCTGTCTCTCTCTGCGCTACAGTTTTGCTCCATTTCCTTGCTTCCAAACAAAAGCCATCTTCCACCATTTCATCTCCCACCAACTCTCTTTAGATTTTGCTTTTAGAATGGTTTCAGAAATCCCTTGACAGGGTTCCCCCAGAAATCTCTTTAACCCGGAAACATTGAACCCATTTGGTCACATTTCCAGTTCAGCTTCGCATTCTTGAACAATACCCAGATTTGGATCCTCGGTTTCAGCTCAGAACTCGTGTAAAGATTGGAGCTTTACTAGGAAGACACATGAAAAATGGAGCACACGCATTTGGTGATTCTAATCATAGGACTGACCTCGTTTTGTGTTGCAGCTTTGGCGGTTTACATGTGGTGTTACTGTCGGAGGAGGGGAGCTGAGGATGTTCCAAGGGATGTAGAAGGTGGTTTTGAGGTTAAGGAAAGAGATGGGGTGGTGGGTAAGGAGATTTTGATGAGGTTTGAGGGTGGGGAAGATCTGACTGTGCTTGATATCCTTGATGCTCCTGGGGAGGTGATAGGGAAATCTGGGTATGGGACTTTGTATAGGGCTGCTTTGTTGAGGTCTAATAGGCCTGCACTGTTGAGATTCTTCAGGCCACCTTGCACTTTGAGCCTGAAAGAAGTGGTGCCAATCATTGAGCTTCTGGGGTCAATTAGGCATCCCAATTTGGTACCTTTGTATGCATTCTATGCAGGGCCCAGAGGGGAGAAGCTGCTGGTTCATTCCTTTTACCGCAGAGGCAATCTGGCTCAATTTATTAGAGGTAAATTTTTCATTTTTTGCATCTGCCTAGTTTTCTCTACTCTGATTGTGGACACAAAGTTCTATTCTGGTGTGTATAGCTTCTCATATTTTCTCCACAAATCTCAAAGATTTGATATTGGGAATTGGGATTCTTGGATTGGGTCTCAATTATATGATCTGAAATATGGTTGTTTGATCTGTCAAACCTGTCCCTCAAATTAATGTCATGTTTGTCAGCTTTTTTTGTTGTTTTGCTTCTGAACCCGCATCCACTACCCGAGGGTGTCCACGGGCTAAACACTGTCTTGTGAGTCCACGGGCTAAACCCCGTCTTGTGAATTAGCCGTAAAAAGACCACAACTAGGTAAACCAGTTAAACCAGCTTAGGTTGCCCAGTTCAAACCAAGAAGGGAATTTGATGTTTTTAATATCATTTAAGGGTCTTGAGTATAGTTGGGTGTGATTGGGTAGGGGTCAGAAAGAGTTGCTTAAAAGTATTCTTCTGGATTTGGAAGAAATTTGTTTTCTTATGCTTAAGTACTATGTATAACTTTCCCATCTACCTAATAGTTAAGTTACTGCTAGCAAGTTTTAGTCTTTGACAATTTGATTTCTTGTCGTTCTAGTTTTGAATGTTTCATTGTGTAGAACAGTAATGCCCTATTGCCTTGAATGAAACAGATGGCGTTGGCGAGGTTCACAAATGGCCCATCATATGTAGGATCTCGATGGGGATTGCTCGAGGTTTAGATTATCTTCATACAGCCTTTGAGATCCCCATAGTCCATGGAAACCTGAAGTCGAAGAACGTACTTTTGGATGGGCATTTTCGTCCACGAGTGTCAGATTTTGGCCTCCACCTCCTCCTGACTCCAACGGCTGGACAGGAGATGCTTGAAACCGCTGCAGTTCAGGGGTACAAGGTGCCGGAGTTGATTAAGATGAAAGATGCTAGTGAAGAAAGTGATATTTACAGCCTCGGAGTAATCTTGTTAGAGTTGCTTACGGGGAAGGAACCGATTGATGAGTACACATACCCTGCTAAAGACGACATTTTTTTGCCGAATGTGGTCAAGAATGCCATCATTGAGGATCGGATTACAGACTTGTTTCATCCGATGGTTCTTGGCCAAAGCAATGGTAAAAAAGAGGCGGTTGAAGATCATATTCTTGAATTGCTTCGACTTGCAATGGATTGCTGTTCCCCGTCGCCTTCTCTTCGGCCTACCGTTAAGGAGTTCCTCACTAGACTCGAAGAAATTGAAAGGTAACAATAAACGATAATTTTCTGCTGAAATGTGAACCCAGTTTTCTCGACAATCACTCGATCAACTTGTGACACACATTGAGGCAGCCTAGTACAGCAATGACGATGTTGATTAATCTAACATTTGGGGTATACCGTGCTTTGGGGAATCAATCTTGAAACGCCACATTTCACATTTCAATCTGTTCAGTCACTATATTGCAAGATTGAAAGGGAAGCTACAAGAATTATGAAGCTGGCCCTTGATCTTTTCCTGCTCGAAATGAATACCAGATTTCTTTATCATAGGGAGTTTGCTTGCTTGCAAGAAAATTCACGGGGTTATTAGAATGGAGAGGCCGAAAGATTCTTTAGCCAAATTCTTGTAATCTAATGACATTCGATTTTATCAGAATATCTCAGAACTGAAGATGATGACACTCATATCTTGAATCTGCAGGCCATCCTACAGTTCAGAACTACACGGAGTTTGTCAAACTTATAAGAGATTAGATCTTACTGTATACATTTGATGATTATATATAAATCATATGCTAATTTCTTTTCATTCTGGTTGTCCTCTTGAAACTATGGAAAATTTATGACAGTGCATTCCAGTTATTTGCCTTGAATTTTCAGCTGGCAGGCAATGCATTCATGTTCTTTGTCTGGTGGGACCCAATTCTTGTATGAGCCTATGAGAATTTTCCCAATACCATGCTCCAACTCCAAGTTGCTTGCAGGCATGGATTCCATTGCTTCTTGTTAAACAACCACCATTTATCCTACCTTTTCTTGCCCACTTTGCATTGGCATTCCCAGCTTTTGTGATTCCTTATAATAAAACGCCTTTTGGGGTAACCCTAGCCAAATTGATCAGACTGTTGACTTGGTAATCATAAGGTACAAATTCGACTCCCAACGGGAGTGGTCTACCGCCCTACTGGCATTCTTGGTTTGAGCTGATCAGCTATGGGCAACTTATGTTGGTTTACCTTCTTGTTGTTCTTTGCTGGTTAGGGTTACAAGGCGGGGTTTACCCGGTGCACACCATTGGGTAGTGGTTCCGGGTTTCTCTCGTCACCCAAAAAAATGTCTTTGCCCCACAGAAAAAGATGGGACTTTTCTTAAGAACCAGGAAACCAGAAGATCTGGGTAAGTGGTGATTGTTGATTAAAGATAGCTAAATGGAGAAGAAAATCTAGATGCCCAGCATCTAATAGATTGGAGAGTGAGTTGTGTTGATGCAAGAAAGAAACTTTAATGCCCTATACAAAAATGAGGAATACAATCTGTCAACTTTACAGTTCATCAGCATTTGACATTGATGGATCTGAAAATCTAATGGCAAAAACAAATGTCTGCAAGGCACAGCAGTCCCTAAAAGTCACTATCTAGAACTAGAAGAGACACCTATATAGACAATCTGAGAGATCTGAGTTATTGCTTACCAGACTTCCACACTGTAATTGCAGAAAGAATCGTGTAGTTTGGTAGAAGGTTCTTGTGAGGTAATGGTAGGTTTGTCATTGGTGAATTCTCGTTCTCGTTTAGCCAACTTTCTATCGCCTTCCGGTCATAGGTATACCCATCGGCTGCAACACAAGGATCCTCCATTACATCCTGCAATAAGAAGGCAACATCTGTCATTCATCAAGAAACGATTGATCTAAAGAGAATATTAAGTGTTGTATCAAGGTGAGCATCCTATCTAGCGTATCAAGGAAACAATGTTGAAAAAAACACTCGGCGCCTGGAGACCGCCTAGGGCGCCTGGAGGCCGACCGCCTAACACCTAGGCGCGATTTTTGCAACACTGCCAGGAAATACCGAGTGTTACACCTGACAGAAAGGGAAGTGTACCTTGAGAATGGGGCACATGAAGTAGTTAGGTGGAGGGGGCGGGGCGATTGATGCCATTTCTTTAGCTTGATTTGCTACATCTTTCAGCTTCTCGAGAACCGGGAGTATATGATCCTTCAGGTCGGGTCTATCCTTTCGCTTAAGCTCTGTGCATCTTAGAGCTAGTACTGCCAATTCCTTTGTCTCTTCTCGTGGCCATTTACCAGCCTCGGTGTCAAGTATCTCCTCGAGGGTATCAATGTCAATAGCAGTTTCGACAATGTGTGTTAGTCCGATGGCCTGTTTTGCTGTCAACAGCTGCAGAATAACCATTCCGAGTGCATAAACATCGGACTTTGGAGAGATCAAGCCAGTCCTTGTATACTCGGGATCTATATAGCAGACCGTTCCAACGGGGCCCGTTTCCTTGTGTAATGTGGACATTGAAGAGCCCGAATGAATCACAGTTGACAGCCCAACATCGCCGATTTTGCTTACAAGGTTACGGTCAAGCAATATGTTCCCCGGTTTGAGATCACGATGGACAATCGTTTCGGGTTTTGAGTTGTGGAGAAAGACGAGGGCAGATGCCACTTCCCAGGCTATTCGATATCTGTCAAACCATGGAATGGGAGGAGTGCCGTTTTTCCTGAACAATCTGTCGTCCAAGCTCCCGTTCTCCATGAACTCGTAGACTAGGCAACCATGATCGGGGCATGCACCGAGAAGAATTAGCAAGTGTGGATGGCGAATTCTGCTCAATACTTCAATCTGAAAACCGAAAAAAAAAGTGCAGTTTAACCATATAACCATAATGTGCAATTCAACTATCAGCTTAGACTTTTAGTTGAGATGGAGCACATGCTTCAATTTGGTATAGCCATGACAAAGGTCATGGTTTGAATCTCCGCTTCATGAGCATATAACCATAATGTGCAATCCAACTATCACATGCTTCAATTTGATGAATTTAGATTCTCATTCATAAAGTTGCCTTACCTCCTGCTGAAATTGCTTGGTTCTCTGGGCTTCCATGGAGCGGAGAACTTTCACTGCAACAGTCGTGTGATGAAGATTGCATTTATAAACTGTTCCATATGCTCCCATCCCGATTTTAAGATCCTCGGAGAAAGAAGATGTTGCAGACACGATTTCTTCCCACGTAAATTCCTGGTAATGATGCACTCTCCCCATAAACGCGTTCTCGAGCTTCTCTTTTTCTTTGGCTTCTCGAAGCGCATTCATCTCCGCTTCTTTTCTCACAGAAGCCTCTCTTTCAGCACAGTTCTTCACATAATCAGCTTCTGTCCTTGCAGCCTCGTATTTCTCTCTCTCTTTTTCTGCCATGGCTCTTGCTTCCTCCTCGTTAGAGAGGATCTTCTTGAGCCTAATCTCTTCCTCTAATTGCTGTTTTCGAAGATCACTTATCTGATTAAAGTTCAAAATATGAGCATACTAGCAGAAAAACGAACGAGAATCAGTAGTTAATCAGAATGCTTCTAAAAATACCTTCCTCGAAGCATCAACTGCTTCGGTTTGTGCCATTGCATACATTCCTCGAACATGTCTGAGCTCAATTCTTAACTTTTCTAGCTCGAAATTTATGTTCACCTGCATATAAACGTGTTAAAATCGCACAATCTTCACTGCCCGGGAAGCAGAAGTAGATTACCATTTACCTGCTCTCCAGATGAAAAATCCCGAGGCACATCTGAAGTGGAAGCTTGGTCATTCGTCCATGACGAATCGTCTGTCACCATGCTCGGGGTAGACTCGTGCTTCGTTACATTGATAATATCTTCTGGACTTCCATTGTTCTTTCGTTTTTCAGGTTCCACATAAAATTCTGTGGTGGAGGCTACAGAGGCGATTGTTTCAACCGAACCTGATCTTTTATGCAGAAGCGTCTGATTAATATTTGAAAGAGCTTGAAACCGTTGCAGTGGGAGCGAAGGAGAGCAGAACTGTGAGTACGAAGCAGTTGAGTCTGACCGCTCTAAAGAAGAAGAAGATGCAAACGAACAAATCAAGAATGATGACAAGTGAAAAAATGAGCATAGTGTTTGGTAAAACATCATATGACAGCAACAACATAGTACTAAATTGCAGAGAAAAGAAAGAATCATATCTCTACAGGCTCCGTTTGGCAGTGCTTATAGCTTATTTTAAGATACTAATAAGCTATATGCTCTGTTTGGTACTGTTCCTAAAATAAGCTAGTAGCTTAAAATAAGAGCTTATTTTGAAGAGCTACCTTACAGTAAAAACAAGGAACTCATACCAGTTAGCGATCTGGAACCACGGCCCGAGGAAATACTAGTTGAGCAGCTCGTTTCGCTATCTTCAACTGTTGCGACGCTGCCAGTCCTATCCGAGCTAGACGGGCGTATAGAAGACAGTTTCCCTTTAGAAATGGCATACACCGTGCAGAAGCTCGGGATGCCTTCTGAGATTCGTGCAGATAAGGTCTGTCGCCTCGAGAACATGCGACGAGAGGATGCACCTATCACGAGCTTGTCAATGTTGCAGTTCACAACCTCGTTTGCTATTGCATTTACGATGTTGTCTGATTCGATCTGTTGAACTTCAACCTCAACCTGCCACAGGAATCTGTACTTTAGTATCTACAAGGAATCTCTCCAGTTCCAAAGCAAAGCTCATACCTTTCTCCTAGTACACAATGCCTTGTATGGAAGAAGCTTTTGAGAAGTTTGCCATTCGATTTCTTTTATGAAAGCAGCTGCAACATCATCGCGTACTTGTGAAATAGGAATCGAATTCCCCACTGAATGTAAAGACAGATTACAACATTAATTCTCCCAACATTACATAAAACCATGTTTCTTGATCAAGTTTGCAGTCTTTTTATGGTTATGAACTTATGATTACAGATTGCTATGCTACTACTTACTGGGAGTTGGAACTGCAGAAATCACAGGTCGAACGTGTAAGAGCTTGAAGAGAATCTTCCCTTCTGGAACAAATTTGTCCAGTGCCCAGTTCACTGCATATTTGCTTTTCGATTTCCCATTGATAGCTACTGCAACAACCAAAGAGGGCGAAGGGGGCATCGCGTTTAGACCATCCATCTCAGACTGCAAAAACTTCTTCTCTGCAAAACTTTATCCTCTGCAGAAAAGAAAAATGACAGAAAACTAACATTGGATGGAGAATCTAAGGAATAGATCTTATAAACCAAACACAACATACAAAGCCTATGCAGTCCTAGAATGGTTAAGAATATGCTGTCCTAGAATGGTTAAGAATGTTCTTTACTATGATTACCAAGAACTTGCCTAGTTGACAAAAAAGCATGAAAAGATCAAACCTTTTTGTAATTCTGAAGTGAAGCCATGCTAAAAGTCAGATATAGATGCAAACAAGTGAACAACCAAGTAAATTCACAGAACCAAAACAAAGACATCCTTTTTCCTAAAACCTGCTACCCCAATTTAGTATTAAGAAACAAGAATAAAATATAAGGTGAAAAAGGCACATTACATCAAAATTCAAACACCCCCACTACTGCAACAACCCAAAAAGGAAAAAAAATCAAATCTTTAAGCTCTAACCTTTCCTTAAACCTTAAAATGTCCAAGAAAATCATGAAATTACAAACACCCAGAAAAGGATAAATAAAACCAGAAGCTCTTACCAGGTTTTTATGGATGAAAAATGTCAAGAACCAAGGAATTGCCTGGGTTCTACCAGAGGCATTCAAGCAAGAAATGAAGAACACAACATTTTCTCTCTCTAAAAAACAATTCAATGGCAAAAGAACATGAATTCACACAGTACTATGACTCTATGAGTATATTTAAGGTTGGGTAGCTTCCCAGAAAAGGAGTAAATGTGAGACACACCCCCTATCTTAACTCCCCCAAAGGCTTCACTCTTTCAGCTCTCTGAATTCTGATTGGTCTGGAAGGCAAAAACCGTGGCGTAAGACGATTAACTACTTCAGAATATTCCGGGGTTTTATATTTTCATTTGATTTAATCAATTCAGCTGATCATATATTAAATTATTATGAAATAACCAATTTGCTTTAAAATATGTATTTAAAAAAAATAAAGTAATTGTTTGTTTGGTATCTTCTTTTGTTATCTTAGTAATTCAGCATGTCTTTTCTGTGTCAGCAATTCAGCATGTCTTTTCTTTCATTTGGTTTATACGGAATTTTATTCTTATCTTAGTATAAAAATGATTTTTTTTTTTTTAATGTTTTACAGTTGACATAAAACATTGTAAGTCTAACTGTCAGTTTGTTGTGGAAGACCGTTAATCTTGAAAAGCCCCAAGAGATTGAGGACAAACTGTAATGATTTACCCAATCATCATGATGAAACCTAAAGTCCCGTATTGATTTACTCTGTACAATACGAAATAAATAAATAAATATAAATGTACATCATATTATCTTTGATTTACGGAAAAATCAGTCATCGCTACATGTGTACATGCTATTATTGATATTATAAAGTAAAATAAAAAGAAAAAAAAAACAGCTGGTACATTTAGTAGGTGATATTTAATTTCTTCACCAGACACAAACTTCATGAGTAAATGGCTGACTCTGTTGACTTTGACTAGTATACAATTGCAAGTTGGACTAGTTGATTAATTAATTAATGAATAAATAAGAATAAAAAGATTTCTTCATTTGATGCATTGAAGATTACGGGTTTGATTCTTGTCGATCAATACTTTTTTAATTGAGTCAGTTAAGCTTATTGTACAAAATTTTTCTAGTGTAGTTTATTTGTATGGTGTGATTTACGGACTATTATACATGAATGAGTTTACTTTTCAACAACTTTTGTTAGTGGGCAGTGTTTCTGGCTACTTTTGACCGGTAGTTAGTGTTTCCGGCTACAATTGATAGGTGATTAGTAATAGTGACGAGTAATTTTTCACATTTTCAAAGTGGTTGCATTGGTTACAAGAAAGAATTTGGTCGTGTGGATTGGTCTAAACAAGTAGGGATGGCAATGGGGCGGGGCGGGGGCGGGGAGTATACTCCCCGTCCCCGTCCCCGCGACCCTGTCCCCATCCCCGTCCCCGTCCCCGTCCCCGGCGGGGAATTGAAAATATTCCCCATCCCCGTCCACACGGGGAATAGGCGGGGACGGGGATTCCCCATTCCCCGTCTACTATTAGTCAAAATGTTAAACAATTGTAATTTAAAAAATAATAATAATAATTTAAGTTCTAATTTTAAAAATTAAAGTACCAAGTCTACAATAAATATATATATATATATATATATATATATATATATATATATATATATAGCATTACTGTCACTTATATATACTATATACTATAATGGCAACATTAATTATATATATAGCTCATTACAGCATTAATGGTACATATACTACATATATATAGTTCATTACAGCACTGTACAGTACATATATATATATATATATATATATATATATATATATATATATATATATATATATATATATATAATTATTCGGGGACGGGGCGGGGCGGGGAGGGGTATCCCCGTCCCCGGCGGGGAATCACACGTATTCCCCGTCCCCGTCCCCGTTTCTCGAAAATTTTCCCCATCCCCATCTTTGTCGGGGCGGGGATCGGGGATCCCCGTCGGGAACGGGGCACATTACCATCCCTATAAACAAGTGTATGTATGTAGTGGAGTTAAATAGTGATTCCTAAGTTGTCATTAGAAAGATTAAAGAGAATATTGAGATCAGAGATGAGATCCTCATTTATTGGTCCTTAAACTAACTCATCAAAGAGATAACTAGTTAGGATCGTGATAGTTAGATTGTTGATATCCATTGAAATGATGAGATAATTGATGAATGATATATCTGTTGATCATATATATAGACACACACATGCATCATGCATGATGATGATGTGGGGAAGTACGTACAGTGCATGCATATTGCCGGATTTGCTACGCAAAGCTTAGTTTAATTTAAACCAATAAATTAACCATCAATATTGTAACAATAATCTTTTGTTTGTTTTCTTGTGTGATATGAACCTATATACCCTTAATCCTTCATCTAGTCAAACAACAAGTCTCACCCTGGCCTACAATTTCATGTTCAAGACTCAAGAGTCTAAGTCAATATTACTCTTTAATTTCGTGTGTTATCTAATTTTTTGTTTGGCAAAACCATGGGTACCGGTATAGGTATTTGATCGTCTTTTAGTCACTGCTATAAAAATCCCACCTAAGCATCGATTAATCGAAGCTTAGGCACTAAGCGATAACCAGGGTTGTAAAAATCCTACCTAGGCGCTAGGCGCCCCTTGGCCGTGGCGATTTTCCCTCTAGGCGCCCGCCTAGGAAACCGGCCGCCTAAGCGCCCGCCTAGCGCCTAACTCGGCCGGTTACACCGAGTTAACTCGTCAATTTCTGTCGAGTTAGCCGAGTTAACCCGGCCGACTCGACCTTGCTAATTTTTTTTTATTTATATGATATATATATATATATATATATATATATATATATATATATATATATATATATATATATATATATATATATATGTGTGTGTGTGTGTGTGTGTGTGTGTGTGTGTGTGTGTGTGTGTGTATGTATGTATAATATGACATATATGCACCTATACACGTGCATTGTTTCTCTTTTTTTTAGTTAGCCGCCTAGGTGACCACCTAGCCCGCTTAGGCCCCCCCCCCGCCTAGGCCGTCTAGGCGCTACTCTACCTCCTGACTAGCGCCTAGCGCCTATTGCAACCATGTCGATAACTGACCGCCTAACTATCATCATAATCAGTGGTTTAGGTGGTTGACCGGCTAGGCAACCAACTAGACCGCCTAAGCATCGTCTAGGCCTTCTAGGCACCCACTAGGCCGCCTAAGCATCGTCTAGGCCTTCTAGAGTTCTAGGCACCCACTAGGCCGCCTAGAGGCGAACCAACCCGTCTAAGCCTCCTAGCAGGCACCCACTAGGCTGCCTAGAGCCAGCCAGCCGATTAGGCCGCCTAAGTATCGTCTAAGCCTCCTAGGCGCCGGTTAGGCTTCCAGACACTGACTAAGCCGTCTAGTTAACCGATTAGCTATTATTCCCTTTTTTTTTAGGTAGAAGTTGAAGAATGAATGCTGACAACCATACTTTCGAAGGAGTTAATGTGTAAGTTCATGAGACTTTTCTTTGGGTATCGGACACAGCAAAGCCGCGTTTCCCTGGCGAAGACGTTGACGCCCAGAGAAAAGGATGAAACATCATTTGTCCCACATATGAACTCATCTTTTTCCACGACTTTTGGGGGGACCAAAAGGAGTCACTATTAAATTTCTTCCAAGTTTAACTATATCTAATTAAATTAAGTAATTTCAATGGAAAAGACACAAATATCAATCAATACCGTCACTTAATGATTAAGTTGGGAGGTGACAAGAAAATGTTCATCACATTTGTTCTATACTTTGATTTGCAGTAGACTTCACAGACATATACACCATGTTAAGGATACATGAAGCATCGATCTTCATCGAACAGACCTGGTTTCCGGGAGAACAGTGAAAACCTCGACGTCGTTCATCCCAGGTTTCATAACCGAGTACTGAAATGTCCATCCATAGCACGCGCCCGCATGATGGCCGCTCTTGTTGACAGCGAAAATGGCCCCAGTGAAGTCCGGGTATTTCCTTGCTATTCGCGAAATTGCATCCTGAGCAGCAGCTCTCGGTTCCAGGCCTAGCCTCATGCTCTCAACCACTTGATAGCTGTGAGAACAAACGAGTTTATAAGGACATAGGTTAGACTAGCTAATTGGTTGGATTCAATCTTTCATAACAGTAACATAATGAATATGTGAAGAAGTTATGCATTGTGTCATTAACAACGAAAACACTATAATACCATGGAAGGAAGCGCATCATGATGTCACCATCCCCGGTTGCACCACAAGCTCCGACTTCAGAAATGGCATATGCGGAAGACCCAGGGATAGGTCCATCGCCAACCCTGCAATTGCACAAATTCTCAGATAGATTCCTTCAAACATTTACGGGTCATTAAGAAAACCTCGTAAACATCATTACCTCCCAGGAATCTTAAATGTTGCCCCATTGGTAGAGGTGCCAGCTGCAATTTGTCCTTTCTAAAGAGACAAAAATATTTCGTATTTCGTGTTGAGTATACTTGTGGAGGAATTGAAAAACTAAACTACGGTGGAGCTCAAACTTACTTTATCAACAACAGCCATAGATATCGTGTCATGGTTGTTAGGACCTATATGAAACGATCCCGATCCATTAGGTCCAACCGAACATTTTGTCTCGTCCTGGTAGGTATAGCCCTTTGGACGATAAGGACCACAGTTGTCTGTAGGAATGACATTTTTCCTAAAATTAGGCTGGCAATTGTTTTCTTTCCATTTGGTCCATTTTTCTATCGATTCTGTCGAGCTTAGGTTCGTTGGACCTGGAAGCCCCATTGAAATGGCAAAAACCGAAGCTTTCTCCCCAACGAGCATCGTGTGTGTACTATACTCCATCACCAGCCTCGCAGCTTTTATGCCATCTTTCACATACCTCATACCCGCAACAGCTCCAACTTCCATCGTTACCTATGTATGTCTTAGCATATGCAAAATAGATTGTAATTCCGGTTTTCGCTTTTATCAGCAAGGACGAAAAATGCAGGAAATTAAATAGTCGAACAGTTTTTACCCCGTTCATGACCATAGCATCAATCGTGGTTTCTCCATTCTCGTCTGGACTTCCACCAGGCCCAACTGAGCATAGAAATGAAGAATTACACAACCAAAAATGCTGGGAAAGCCTTCACACGGGGAAATTAGAAAGGTCGTATTCTATTAGAAATGAGAATTTGATGTAAATAAACCATTTTCGTTTAAGAAATATGCTAGTACAGCAAGAAGGAACAACATAGAAATGGCAATTATGGGTCCAGTAATACCTGTACCATCACACCGCAATTCCTCGCAAGTTGAACAACCTTCCACCACTGCATCTATAGCTGATGAACCACTATCGGCAGCCCTCCAGGCAGCTCTAACAGCTTCCAGGAATGGCCAGGTGCTTATAACTAAAGGGTACTGTTCTGACTTCTCCAACTCACTTCCACCTGCCTATTTCCACACCCATAATGTTAATAGTATTCTAAAAAAGAACATAGAACATGGAACATCGTTGAGATTAATGAGAACAAGAAACGATATAACTATGGCAGAAAATAAAGAAGACAAGATTTATGTGGTTCGCAATCTGCCTAGCTGTTCTTTTATTAATTCTTGTGGTGATAAAACACCTAGAGATACAATCAACGTACTTATATCCATTCTTGTGGTGACCAAATTCCCCTTTTATTCAACCAAACGGGCAGAAATTTCACAAGGTTTTTTCTTTTACCATTTTTGGTCCCAGCTCCAAATTGATTTTTCAGACAAGCAGACACCAGAGAGACCTAAAGATTCAATCTTTTTCATCCCTACTTCTCAAGAACCAGGTTTGGGGAAAACCCAACAACGAAAATTAATTGCAAAACATTTCCATCACTATAAATCATCAGGAAATTGATGAATTGCATTACTGTAACTATATGCATATAGAGAGGTCAGAATTGTGCATACATAGTATGTAAGCAGAGAGATATGTATTACCAAGATGCAGAGGAGTGTGAAGAGGAGAAGACGAGTGATCGGAAGATGTTTGCCGACGGTCACCATTATCGTTGAAATCAGTCAGTGTCAGTGAGTGAACTTTCCGGAGTTTCAGACTACCCGACCGGAGATTACTAGAGCAACCCCAATAACGAGGTTGTGCACAGGTTTTGAGAGTAAAAGTGTGACATGGAGGAGAGAGGAGAGCAATCATTATACCAGGGTGCATATAGCAATGTGCGCCTCACGTCTTCCAAAACGACGTCGTTTTGATAAATTTTATACTTTCAAGTATAAAATTTTGTACATTCTATTATATAATTTTGTACATTCGAAACATAGCAATTTTCAGTTATAAAATTTGGTGTTTTCAGGTATATAATTCTGTACATTCGAAACATAGCAATTTATAAAATTTGGTGTTTTCAGGTATATAATTCTGTACATTCGAATCATGAGAATTTTCAGTTATAAAATTATGTATTTTTAGGTATAAAATTTTGTGTTTTCAGGTATAAAATTCTGTATTTTCTATTATACAATTCTGTACATTCGAAACATGAATTTTTTTTTTAAGAAGTTAACAGCAAAACGCGAAAAAATACAAAACAATGTCGTTTTGGGCCAGGACACACATTGTGCGCCCTTGTGCACAGTATAATTTGCAGATGGGAGAATGTGTTGCAGGAGTTGGGGCTCTTTGTCCCTTTGTGTGGACCCCACAAAGAAAAGAAGCAAGCAGAAAAGAGAAAGTGGGTTGCACATTCGCGCCCGACATGCAGTGGTTCAATTTTTTTTCTTTTTTATTTTGCTAACATTTTGTTTTTGTTTGTTTTTTTTTTTTCTCTCATTTTCTCTTTCTTAACGACACCTACAAAAACCGCAAATTATGCTGTGCAACCGAATGCACCTTGCAAGGTGCATACGGTTGCAAAACGGCGCCGTTTTGGTTAAAAAACGCGCGTCCCACTTAAAGAAGAAATCAGATTCGATTCCCGGCAATAACATTTTTATATATCCAGAAATTCATAACTATATATCCACAAATTCATAACTATATATCCACAGTGAATGAATGAAGTAAAAATTCACAATGAATGAATGAATGAATGAAGTAAAAATCCACAATGAATGAACTAAATATCCACAATGAATGAACTAAATATCCATAAATTCATAACTATATATCCAGAAATTCATAACTATATATCCATAAATTCATAACTATATATCCACAGTGAATGAATGAAGTAAATATCTACAATGAATGAACTAAATATCCACAATGAATGAACTAAATATCTATAAATTCATAACTATATATCCACAAATTTATAACTATATATCCACAAATTCATAACTATATATCCACAATAATGCTATTGCCGAGAATCGAACCTGAATTTTTTTTTTTTTAAGTGGACGCGCGTTTTTAGTCAAAACGACGTCGTTTTGCAACGTATGCACCATGCGCATGGTACATTCGGTTGCACAGCATAACTATTGTACAAAAACTACACCAAAATTCTCACTATTGAAGATGTCCAATCTGGAGATCAAGGCCCAATAAAGTGAATTTCCAGCCTAGACCACAGCCCAATTAGTCTTGTATACTTAAATTTTCATTTACTTGAAAGTCCACAATTTAAATTAAGCTCGTTATGATCTTAGTCTGTAAAGAATCATAATGTAAATTAACTTAGGTGTTCATAACTTACTAGCTCAAGGAAAAAAAGATCAATAAGTGATTCACTCAAAGAAAGCGTCAATCTCCTATACTAGGATAATCGAGGTCAAGAAAGCAATGATGGATTCAATACAGACAAGAAAGAAGCAAAGCTATGAAGGGAGTTCGGATCAGTGAACCCCGCTTTTAGATGTCAAGACTCCAGATTTCAGCCTATTTTGAGTTATCTTTCTCATCCTAAGTAAGGAAATGAGTTGAACTTAAAACTTTGTGGTTATCAAACTAATTATCTGACCAAATATGTTGCACTCAAATATTTATTCATCTACTCATTTCATACTTGCAACCATGAGGAGACCCTAGCTTTACCGTCATCTACTTTAACATTAATCTTAACTCCGCGAGTATTTAGTATCCCTTAAACCACCCAAGTTAGATTCCCTTAAGAATCATAGTTTTAATCATAGTGCATGTCCCCAACTAATCCTATTAACTCAAGGAATAAGTATATAGAGTGTTTGTTGTTGTAACTTGTAACATCACCATATCAAAATCAATTAACATGACATTGATGTCATACTTTAGACACTACAATTGTAATTTTCATACAAACATAATAAAGTAATGGTACATGGATTTAGGTTCAGCCGGTAATGCACCTAACCTCAAAATATTCGTCGTAGGATTCAACCTCCAACTTAGTATTAGAAGAAAGTTTTAAGTGCAGCTTTTCAATTATTAGACGGAGCAGTCGTCTTCTTGTTAGAACCTTGAAGGACTCTATTCCAAAACCTATGCTCCATCCAAATCTTATCCATTTTCTCCAAGGGAATATTCTTTGTCTCTGGCAATAGGAAGTACACAAAAGCAGTCATTACAGCAACCCAACCTCCATAAAAGAAGAAAATCCCAGATCTGAGGTGACACAACATGGCTAAGAAACTTTGAGCTACAAGAAAGATGAACAGAAAACCAACCCCCACTGTGATACTTTGTGCTGCTGATCTGATCTCCAAAGGGTAGATTTCACTTGGAACAAGGTATCCTAGTGGACCCCAAGATAGACTAAACCCCACAATATAAACACAAATGGCTATCAAAATTGTCACTCCAAACAACTTGGTCAACCCACCATGGTCCCCTAGTTTTGCTGCCATGATTGACCCAACCAACATGTGAGTCACAAACATTAGACCCCCTCCTATGTTAAACAATGTTCTCCTCCCAAGCCTGTCAACAACAAAAGATGAGACCAAGATTGTAACAGCCCCCACAACCCCAACCACCACAGCTGACAGAAGTGATGCGGTTTCGCCTAAGCCAATTGTTCTGAACAACAAAGGTGCATAGAAAGTGACCACATTTATGCCTGTCACTTGTTGGAACACGGGAATCGCGACCGACATTACTAGCTGAGGCCTATATTGTCTTCCTAGGATGTCTGAGAATGGGTGTTTCATTGTTCTGGCAGTCTCACTTGCTCTGATGAGATCAGATAGTTCCGCTTTGACATCAGCCACGCCCCGCAGCCTCTGCAGCAGTCTTTCTGCCTTTTCTTGATCATTTTCTTGGTGGATTACAAAGCCTGGTGTCTCTGCAAGGAAGATTGCCCCCAAAAGTATAACGGATCCCGGGGCGGCTGCCATGGCTAAGGACACTCTCCACCCCCACCCTCCTTTTATTCTTGCAGTGCCATAGTTGATCAAGTTGGCAAACAGAATGCCCAGAGCAACACAGAATTGGAAGGCAAGGTTGAATCCTCCTCTATACCTAGCTGGTGCCATTTCTGAGAGGTATAGTGGAATTGCCTGCAAGAACCCATAGTGGAATATATGGGTTTATAAGGCCATGAGTTAGACTAGCTAATTGGTTAGATTCAATCTTTTTAGTTTGGTTTGGACCAGGTGCATTATAGCCTAATTGAGTGACTCTAGCCCAATCTTAGTTTATAAAAACATCAGAAATCTGATCAAGAATAGGCACTACCTGGTTTGTAAAACCAATGCCAACTCCAAGCAAAACGCGACCAAAGATCAGCATGTAGACATTGTAGGCTGCGCCACCAAGCGCCGCTCCACCGAGATATGCAGCTCCGCCAACGAGGATCGAGAGTCTGTGCCCAAAGTTCCTCGTGATTGGTGAGGCCAAGAAAGTGGCAATTAGGCCTGCAATATAGAGTGAGGAAGTGAAAGCAGTAAGCAGTTGGCTGTCAAATATGCAGTAGTTGCTTGTGCTGGTGTCTTCCTTCATCTTTCTATACACTTTTGGGAAGAATTTCCTCAGAAATGGCTCCATAGATGAGACTCCACCTATATATACATCAAACATGACTTCATTTAGCCCAAAACAACAGGTAAAAACTAATATCTTTACAAATTTCTTGGAAACATCAGATCAGATGTACAGGAAGAAGTGAAAGAAAGAAAGAAACCTGAGATTCCAAGATCAAAGCCAAAGAGAAGCCCTCCCGAAGCGGCCACCATACAAGATAACACCAAAACACATGTAACCCTGCCATTATACTCACTGCCTTGGCCTACTTTTGCCAATCCAAAATCCATAAAAGCTCCCTAAGCTAAAGAAGAAACGGCGGTTGCCTATAAAAACAATGCCTTTCCCCCTAAGACACTATTTATCTTTTGTTCAATACTGTGAAAAAGACGGAAACTTTATAAATTCAGAGAATCGAATGGCTGAGGATTTTTTTTAGTAGTTAATGTTGGTCTTTGGCATTGAAATCAAACAGAAACAAAGAGACAATAACAGTACCATATGCAAACATGTCTTTATTAATCCAATGGATTGGAATAGATTATCATATATTATATTCCTCATCATAGTACTTCTGCAAATTTCTTCCAAAACCAGTGCTCTCTCCAAACTATATCCATTTTCTCGATTGGCATATTTTTGGTCTCGGGCAACAAGAAGTACACGAAGGTCGTCATAACAGAAACCCACCCTCCATAGAAGAAGAAAATCCCATACTTGAAGTGGCAAAGCATTGCCAAAAAGGTTTGGCCAACCAAAAAGGTGAAGAAAAAGTTCACTGCTACTGTGATGCTTTGTCCTGCTGATCTGATTTCGAGTGGAAAGATTTCACTTGGAATCAGCCACCCCAAAGGCCCCCACGAAAAGCCAAAACCGGCATCATAAATGCATATTAGCAGTAAAACCACAACCGCCCAACCTTTGGTTAGTCCTCCATGGTTCCCCAACTTAGCAGCCATCACTCCTCCTACTGCCATTTGGGTGACAAACATTAGTATTCCTCCTATGATTAACACCCGTCGTCTACCTAGTTTATCGACAATCAGCATTGAAACAAAAGTTGTAAATAGGCCTACTGCCCCGGTTACAACAGCTGACATGAGCGAGGCGCTTTCACCTAAGCCGATTGTCCTGAAAAGGACTGGGGCATAGGAAGCTATCACGTTGATTCCCGTGACCTGCTGGAAGAATGGGATAGCGATCGACATCACCAACTGAGGCCTGTACCTTCTCTGCAAGATGTTCTTGAAAGGGCGTTTGATAGTTCTTGAAGCCTCACTAGCAGCAACGAGATCATCCAGCTCTGCCTGCACATCATCAGTCCCGCGAACTCTCTGCAGCCTCCTCTTCGCTCTGTCGTGATCATTGCGACGCTGAATCAGACTGTTGGCTGTTTCGGGCAGAAAAATCCCGCCCAGCGTTAGCATTGCTGCTGGAACAGCAGCCAATCCCAGAGAGATTCTCCACCCCCATCCATCTCTGATCTTCTCAGTCCCATAGTTTATCAGGTTCGCAATTAGCACCCCACTGCCTACACACATTTGAAAGTTAATGTTGATTCCTCCTCTGTACTTAGCGGGCGCCATTTCTGACAGATACAATGGCACTGCCTGATTCGCAAAGCCAATCCCAATGCCAAGCAAAACTCTGCCCAAAATCAGCATGTAAACATTAATGGCTGCCCCACCAAGGGCTGCTCCAGCTAGGAAGGCCACTCCTCCTATAAGAATTGAGGGCGTTCGCCCACAAGCACGGGTCACAGATGAAGCCAACAAGGAAGCAAACAGACCAGACACATACAATGAAGATGTGAACAATGTTAACAGCTGACTGTCAAATTTGCAGTAGTTGCTAACTTCTGCACTGTCTTCCTTCATCTTAGTGTAGACATCATGGAAGAACCTTTTCAGGAATGGTTCCATTGAGGTCACACCTCCTGCAGACAACAGAATTTAGGATTTAATCTCATAAAGATCGAATCTTTTTTAAGGAAAAAGAACACACACTCAACTTCTGAGGTTGATACTGCTGCTTATCTATCTAAGAACTGTGGAAGAATAAATAAATAAATAAATAAGAGTCAAAAGTAAGTGCAGCAAGCAAACTAAACCTGAAATCCCAATATCATAGCCAAAGATAAGACCTCCCATGGCAGCCATCATACAAGACAGCACGACGAATGATGTCATCCTGCCATTATAGTTCCCAGGTTCATTTGTTATGGACATTCCCACTGCCATAGTTGTCTTCTGTTCTTGTATTTTTTCAGTGGATTTTAAAGGAGAGGACTTGAATAAGCAGCAAGGATTTTTATATTGTGGGTAGTAGAAAGCTAATAAGAGAAGTGTTACCATTTACCAACTAGTCTTAGCAGTCCAAAATGGCTGCATGGATCAACATCAGTATAGTCAAATGTTGCTAACAAATTGGACCAAATGTTACAAGTTCAACCCTCAGCCAGAGCGACCTATTGACCTACTTCGTTTGAGCCAGTCAGCTATTACAACTTAGGATGGTTTATCTCATGTGATCCTTTTTTTTTATTAAGATCACAAGACGAGATTTACTTAGTGCACATTCTGGGGCAGTGATTGTGGTTTCCATCGTGACTCAAGAAATTTCTATGATCAATTCCACTTGATAGTTATGAAGTTAACCACTACCAAACAAATTCTCTTCTTTTAAAGGAGCCAATCAGAAGAAATTTCTAGGAGAAAAATCATTGCTTACAGCAAGGAAAAACACACTATAACAGACTAGTCAAAGCTTATAACGAATGGTGCCTTAAGTATTGATTTTCAATTGTTTAACATGTTACATGCATTGCAGTCATGGTACTTGATGTATGGGTACTAGGAAATAGGAATAGGGATGACCACGGTTTGGTTCGAATCACGTGCATTATAGAAACTGAATCAAAATCAAAACTGAAACTGTATGGACAGTTAAAAAAGAGAGAGATAGTGTAACTTGTAAACACTAAGCAATCCAGTACTAAATACAATATTAAAAATGATGAAAAATTATAAAATTATATAGATAATAAAGTGAAAAATTATAAAATTATATTGTTATTTAATAAAATGTTTTGTATTAGAGTCTAAAAGATTTTATCATGAATTGATTTATCCAGCAATTAAGGCCAATAGGCCATACTATGATACTACTATATGAATTTCATTACATTTCATATTTATTACTCCGTATTTGTTAACTTTGTATAATATTAAAATATTTAAAACTAAATAAATATAAATATATTATACTAAATATATAGGCATTTTCAAAAATTGTAGAATGATATAATTGGGAAAATGGCACTTTTTCCCCCTGAATTATATATCTATAGCACTTTTCCCCCCTCAATTATTGAAGTGGCTGTTTTTCCCCCTGAAATGTTAAATGGACATATTTACCCTTAAAATAAATATTTTATTTATTTTTCTTCTCCAACAAATTATGACCATAATTTGATTCAAACCAAACAAACACTATAGCAACCAAACCGAAATATTCCAATTACAATTTAGAATCGAAACCCGATATTTAAAGTTTATTAAAATCGCGAACCAGAACGGACGGTTCATGTTCCGAACTAAAAAATAAAATACATTTATTGTTGAATTTAGGCTATTTTAAAATAAAAAATAAAAATTTAAAATAAAGACGGTTCAAAATCGCAAACCGGATCTAGAACCCCCGGTTCACGGTTCAGCCGTTCAGGATCCAATTTGTTTGATTCATAATTTTAATAAATTGAAATCCAAATGTTGGGTTATAGATCTGAATCATAACCGAAAATTTTTAATTCGATTGCTTTAGTGTCCGGTTCAGTTCGAACCAAACCGTGGTCATCCCTACGTATACGCAATAATTTGTTGGAGAAGTAAAATAAATAAAATATTTACTTTAAGGGTAGAAATGTCAATTTAATATATCAAGGGGAAAAACCACCACTTTTAGAATAATTGAGGGGACTAATGTGCTTACCTAAATAATTGAGGGGTCAAAAGTGCTATAAGTATGTAACTCAGGGGGAAAAAGTGCCATTTTCCCTATAATTAGTTGTAGAATTTGAACATTTTAAAATAGAACATAGAATTTTACCCAAATAATAAATAAAAAAAAAATTTAAAAATTTCCGTTGAATCCGACTGTTTAAATCGGAACCGCCGGTTCACGCATCAGAACCAAAACCTTTATTTAAGATTTCGGTTCTGGTTTGATCATTTCTAATTTTCTAGAACCGAAATCGGAACCTTGGCCATCTCTCTAGGAACTAGGTGGTCAGTCACCAGACCCTTAGAGGTGATGAAGTATAGCCCCTTAGAAAAGTTTCCAAACGTATTTAATGGAGATTTGGATGGTTCAAGGGCATTAATGTCCGAGATCGATGGAGATTTCTTGCCTTGAATCACTTTTCAAGTTTTCTAAATTAGGGTGGTGTTCTATCATTTTAGGTAGCTTGTTAGTCCCAACTCCAGACTATAATTGACTGGAGATTTGTAGCATTGATTATAAAAAAGTTCTTTGCAATGGTTGTCATATTTTAGCTTTTTCCATTGCTCTATTTATTCAAACGGTTGTGCTGACCAGCCAATGGTCGTTCGTAAAACTAACTGTAGTAAATTATATACTGTGTTTGGGATAAAGATGGAAACTTTATGCAAAGTGGAGGATCAAATGACAGAAATTTTTTCAGTGATTAATGTTTGGGTCTTTGAGATTTACAATTTTCATAAACTCCTCATATATCATACCACAATTTTCTTCCAAAACCAGTGCTCTCTCCAAACTAAATCCATTTTCTCAATTGGCAAGTTTTTGGTCTCTGGCAACAACAAGTACACAAAGGTGGTCATAACAGCAACCCACCCTCCAAAAAAGAAGAAAATCCCATACTTTAAGTGGCAAAGCATTGCCAAAAAGGTTTGCCCAACCAAAAATGTGAACAAAAAGTTCACTGCCACTGTGATGCTTTGCCCTGCAGATCTGATTTCCAGTGGAAATATTTCACTTGGAATTAGCCATCCCAAAGGCCCCCAAGACAACCCAAAACCAGCAACATAGCTTGATATTAGCAATAAAACCAAAACAGCCCAACCTTTGCTTAGCCCTCCTTGGTCCCCCAACTTAGCCCCCATCACCCCTCCCACTGCCATTTGTGTCACAAACATTAGTATTCCCCCTACGATCAAAAGCCGTCGTCTACCCACCTTATCCACAAGCAACATCGAGGCAAAGGTTGTCACGATGCCAACAGCCCCGGTCACGACTGCTGACATAAGCGCAGCGCTTTCTCCCAACCCGATCGTCCTGAACAGGACCGGGGCGTAGAAGGCTATCACGTTGATCCCCGTGACCTGCTGGAAGAACGGGACCGCAAACGCCATCACCAGCTGAGGCCTATACCTCCTCTGCAAGATTAGAGAATTGAATTCATTCAGTTGCGACAGAATTGAAAGTACAGAGTATATCTACAACTAAACACTAACTACTCCTGACAATCAGGTTACACTAAGTCAGCTAGTCTAGTACCACATAATTACAAGCATATAATATAACACAATAATACTAACATGCAAGATGTTCTTGAACGGGCGTTCGATGGTTCTTGAAATCTCGCTGGCTGCAACGAGATCGTCCAGCTCGGCCTGCACATCATCGGTCCCCCGAACCCTCTGCAGCCTCCTCTTTGCCCCGTCATGATCATTGCGACGCTGGATCAGACTGTTGGGCGTCTCGGGGAGCACAACCGCCCCGATTGTCAGCACTGTTGCTGGAACAGCAGCCAATCCCAGAGACACTCTCCACCCCCACCCATCTCTGATCTTCTCAGTCCCATAGTTTATTAAATTCGCAATCAAAACCCCAATGCCTACACACAATTGAAAGCTAACATTCATCCCACCTCTATACTTTGCAGGTGCCATTTCTGACAGATACAAAGGCACTGCCTGATTGGCAAACCCAACCCCAATGCCAAGCAAAACTCTGCCAAAGATCAGCATGTAAACATTAATGGCTGCCCCTCCAAGGGCTGCCCCAGCTAGGAAGGCCACTCCTCCTATGAGAATCGAGGGCGTTCGCCCACAGGCTCGGGTCACAGACGAGGCCAACAACGAAGCAAACAGACCCGCAATGTACAAGGAAGACGTGAACGAGGTTAACAGCTCACTGTCGAATTTGCAGTAGTTGCTAACTTTTCCACTGTCTTCCTTCATCTTAGTATAGACATCATGGAAGAACCTCTTCAGAAATGGCTCCATTGAGGTCACCCCCCCTACAGATAACAGAATTTAGGACTTAATCTCATAAAGATCGAATCTTTTTTAAGGTTCTGATCTTGATTATCCAAGAACTGGGAGGAAAAAATCAAGAAAAAAAAGAAAAGTGCAGCAATTAAACTAAACCTGAAATCCCAATATCATAGCCAAAGATGACACCTCCCATGGCAGCCATCATACAAGACAAAACCACGAATGATGTGATCTTGCCATTATAATACCCAGCTTCATTTGTAATGTATATTCCCACTGCCATTTTTTTTCCCTTTTTTAGTGGAATTATGCAGAAAGGAGAGGGCTTGAAGAAGCAGAAAGGAGGTTTAAGTGATGGATAATAGAAGCTAGTTAGTGTTAGAAGTCCAAAATGGCTGCAGGGATCAACATCAGTTTGGTCAAATGTTGCCAGACAACTGAGACAAGTTCTATGATACTTGTTGTTTGTCAGATAGTATGATCCGAATCTTTTTTTTGTGTGGATAAAACAATGAGATAATAAACTTCATTTGCATGTGCCCTTAATCTTGGAGCAATGGTAGCCATGTCACTAGGAACACCACAACCTCAAAAACAACTAGACATCCAATACAGTGAAGAACTAGCTAGCTACCACCCATATTCTTTCTGGGTCACGAGAAAAATTCGTAGCCACTACCGATATGATAGTGTGTACTAGTTAAACCACGCTCTTGCGTAATAGCTCGTAAATCACACATGAGAGGTAAACTGCACTATGTTGAACCTGTGCAAAGGGTCGACCAACAAGGCGTTCGCAATAATTGAACTCGTGAAAATCATGCTCCATCCCACTTGACCACTCCTTTCGGACCGATTATTCTTTTATTGAAACTCCTTGATTGATTTCTCAGGCAATCATCATAGTTCTAGTCGCAAATGGATGAATACAACTTTGATAGTTAACCATATCCAAATAAATGTTATTTAACATTATAGTTACATTAATAATTTGCTTATTCACTATTCAATTGATCAAATTACGAGTTCCATTTTTTTTTACGAAACCAACAAAGAACCTTACACGCAACATTAATTAATGCAATGAATCATTGGTCGGTAATAGCAATCTTTCTGTGTTTTTTTAATGATTGCTTGTTTTAGTATGAGTTGTCTTCTTTAATACGGAGTAATAAAAAAGCATCCATAATTCCAAAATTCAAACCTTTAAAGATCCTTCTTCCACATCTTATCTGATGATGTCTCCTCTTTTAATTTCTTATATTATTAGTGTACTTATAACTTGCTTGTGACAATTGTATTGTCCTTGACAGCTACCAAATATTTGGTCAGTCATTAAGTCACACCCTTTCATCAATCGTTATTATGTAGACCATGATCCATACATCTGTATAGATCATATTATCAAATAATGTATATTTAGTATATTAAAAATGTATTTTTTATTATAATCCACACAGCACTGTGTGGACCATAATTTGCCCCCTTTCATTAGGTAGACATGGTCATTATGGGCTTGTTTGGCAATCAGCAGTTAGCGATTTGTGTCAATGGATAACGAATAGCAGATTGTGTTAGCGAGTTTGACCAGCGAAATATATTAGCGGTTTGTTAAAAAGAAAAAAAAAAAAGGTTTGGTATAAATGTTTGACCAGCGGACCATGTCAAAACACTGAAACTTTTGTTTGGTAAATAACGGTTTGGAGCAGCAGATTTGCTCTATTTACAAGATTTACACTCAACACCTATTTCTTCATTTCATTCATTATGTAGATGTTCTTTACAAAGCAAACAATAATTTTCTGTATTGAAAGCTACATATATCATCCAATCACATTACCATTGATAAGCCACATTGCCAATGGAAAATCTGGATAGACTTCAGCATGTGGATAAAAATTATTGATAATAAAAATTAAATAATACAATTTTTTTGGAAGTTTGATGTATAATAATTGTAAATTATACAACACTTTTTAAACTTATATTCAAACATACAGAAGATGAAAGGTAATTTGGAGTTGAATATAAATTATTCAACCTACAATCTCCAGAATCAACAAACATATTGGGTTCCAAAGCAAATATTCATAAATCCTAATGAGATTTCACCAACAGATCACTTCCAAATGATCCATCAGAAAGAACAGAAAGGATAATTATATTTATTCTTGAACTTATATGCACTAATATGGACCAACCTGGTAGAAGAAACACAAGTTATAGCTGCAGACTGCATGAAAATCTTGAGTTTATGCATCAAAGTCGAGGCCAGATCCCTCGAACTTCTGGGCAGTAAGTTGATTGAGTCGCTCTTCCATCTCCGGTGTCAAGTAATTCTTTGAATCCCCGACAACCCCACGCCTAAAGAAGGAGTTGTTGGGTACACCAGTCCAAGGAATCGAGCCTTTTGAATTGACTTCCAAGCTCTTGAGCCTGTCAATGCTGCATCTCCAGACTATATCTGCAACTTCCTGCTCAGTAAGGGGCTGATCAAGAAAGCCAGCTAGTTTTTCGACCTGGCCTTTTGGGTCAGTTGTTAAGTCTTCGTATTTCAAAAACAGTACCTTATGGGGCGTCTTCAAGCTTTCGTTCCAATATTGTAGGACATGCTCAAAGTAAGGACCATAATGGAAAACTCCACTACAGAAGCATTCAAAAGCAAGGTCAATGGGAAAATGGTTGTGTTGGCTAATAGTGTTGGCGAAGTGCCACCAAGCCACAAATGTGTCTTTAGGATTCCGGGTTACATAAACAACTTTGCACTTTGAGTTCTTGGCTGCATCACGAAAGAAACTATACGGAAAATGAGTATGAAGAAGTCTAGGTGAGTTCATACCAGCAATAATACTGCAAGGGTTCCCCGAAAAAACCAAAGATTCAATCGTTGGAACATGGATATGAGGGCTGCCCTCTTCCAGAATATCCTTACTTCTCTGCCTATGCATAATAGACGCACAAATAGCCTTGAGCCATGTAGTGCCAGTTTTCGTAAAGGATGCCAGTATAATATCATCATCGCGTGCCTCAAATTGTGACTTGAAGGAAACTGCAGCATCCAGGAGATGGCGATCAAACCAGAAACCTTCCAACTGGTAGATATCAATCTTCCCCCCGAGTTTCACGTTTGGAAGCTGATCCACTAGAACATCCAAGGAATCTGATGAGCTGCACAGCGACTCCTTTTTACTCGACATTGTTGGATAGAGTTCACAATTACCAAGTCAATAGTACCTGTGAAAACAACCAATTGTATATAGCGTGAAGGAGTATGCAAAACCACAATGACATTTATAATATCAGTGTCAGGACGAGATGAGTTTCCTATTCAACTACCATGCCATTTTTATAGTTATATAAATAACCTACTCTAGATATTTATTAATTTATATTGAAAATCATGCACAGCAGAGATTATGGGCATATTAGGTGATGTTTTTCTAAGCCAAACAAGTTATGTGCCATATTATGTGAAGAACTCTCATTCACAATCATGTAATTAGCAGCGGTATGATCTCAAATCACATTAGAATGAAAAAAAAAAAAAACAAAAAAAAAACAAAAAAAACAAAAACAAAAAAAACAAAAAACAAAAACAAAAACAAAAACAAAAAACAAAAACAAAAACCAACAACAACCATCATCAAGTGTAGGAATATTCTAAATGCTAATGAGAATGATTATACCTTTCCTAATCACTGGCTTGCTGAATTCCTAACTGCTTGATAAAAAAATGCTGGTACGAATGGTTATACCTGTCCCAATTGCCAGCTTGCTGAATTCCCAACTACTTTACAAAAAACGTGAATGAGACGGCAAAGAATTGGACATCAGTACCCAATAATCAGTGGAAAAATCCCAGTGTCCTTTTCAACACCACCTACTTACTAAGATAAGGACAGTGTAACATCCAGAAATCTTCAAAAGAATTTCAATCTATTTGCTACATATTTTACTAAGCAATTATTTTCTAAACTCTCAATCTCCTGATCCTGTTACCAATAATCACCACAAGAACAGATCCCATCATTGAAATGATGATAGCGGTTCACATCTCTAATAGTAATTTCTCTCTGTGTGATTTTTGAAATAAATTTGATTGCAACATGGCAATCTTCACAAACCCGTAGGTTCTTAGTGATCAAGAGTTTGGTCCCTGGTGGTGTACTAATCAGTCCAAAGATGATTGCTAGCCGTTCGCTGTGGCTGGAAACCATTCTAGTCTTCTCGTCATCTTCCACGTCATGGAAAACAGGTGAAGTATTTGGAACATAACCAGCCTGCACCATCCGTGCTCCCAATCTTTCAAGCTCTGCATAAATCTCATCAGACATTGGATGAGATGTATCCCCAGAGAGAAAGGCATGAAGTTTATTTTTTACTTCAATCCAGCTACAAGCTGTGCTTTTCTTTAATCCTTTTTCAGTCATTAGTTTCCTTAGCTTCACAACCCCATCCCACCTACCTGCTTGGGCATAGATGTTTGATAATATCACATAATTTCCTGCATCATTTGGTTCAAGCTCAATTAACTTCTCTAATGCCAGTTCTGCTAACTCCACATGTCCATGAATTTTGCAAGAATTAAGCAATGCACCCCAGACACCAGCATCTGGCATGACATTCATCTGCATTATAAGTCCATAAGCTTCATCCAGCTGACCACACTGACCAAGGAGACCAACCATGCAAGTATAATGCTGAACAGTGGGTTCAATACCATAATCTCTAATCATCAAGTCAAAATACATCTTTGCTTCATCCAACATGCCTCCATGTTTACAAGCTGACAGAACCCCCACGAAAGTAATGTGATCTGGCTGGGCCTCACGGATCATCCACTTAAACATATCAAGTGCTGCATTAGCATGGCCATGCATTGCATATCCAGTGATAATAGCATTCCAAGAAACAACTCTTTTCTCTGCAAGTGCTTCGAATAACATCCTAGCAAGCTTCACATGACCACTCTTGGCATACATATCCACAAGGGCTGTCCTCACCTTGTCCTGAGAGCCAAACCCCTGTCTGCAGCAGTACCCATGTAGCTCCCTCCCTTGTGGAAGTGCAGCTATATCAGCAGAGGCTGAGATAGCAGTCACTAAAGTGGCATCAGTGGGCCTCACACCCGCATAAGCCATCTCACTGCATAACAATAGGCACTCGTCTGGGCACCCATTCTGAGAATAAGCAGCAAGCATTGAATTCCAGACCACAACATCCCTCTGAGCAACCTTATCAAACACTTCCCTAGAGCTATCAACACAACCACCTTTCGCATACATGTCAATGAGGGCAGCACCAACAAAGACATCTCTTTCCCACCCAGTTCGCACCACTTGCTCGTGAATGTTCCTCCCAACATCTACAGCCGAGAGGGCCGAGCACGCCTTGAGCACAAACGGAAATGTGAAGTTATCCGGAACAAGCCCATAATTGAACAATTGGAAATATAAAGAAATGGCAACCTCATATGGACCATTCCACGCGTACCCACGAATCAAAACGTTCCACAGGAAGAGATTCCCTTTGGGAATTTTATCAAACAGCCGGTGTGCAACACTTACATGGTCGCAAACACAGTAAAGATTGACAAGTTTCGTGGCCAATGCGGTATTATAGCTAAGCCCAGTAAGGCATAAACGAGCATGGAGTTGCCTTCCTGGCCCAATCGCCTTCCCGGCAATACAAGAGTTCAGAAGATATGCATAATGCCCCGGAGGGTTGGAAGCTAGTGAGTGCCGATTATAGCGGCAGCTCTGAATGAATGCAAAATAGCAAGGCGATAGACTCAGGAAAGTTCTAATCTTTGAGAGCATTTGAAGAAAATTCTGCAAAGGAAAAGCAGAATAGAAACCGTTTACATAAGCACTTCAGAATATTCGATCTTTCTTGGTAAATGGCGGGAGAAGCAAGAGAGTAACAACTACCGTTATTTCGGGTAAAATAAATTTTGAAAGCATTTTACAGCACATTTAGAGCTGTCAAATTTTAATAAAAATAAAATAAAAATGTTAAATAAACCTTAAACTTTACTCAAAAAGTTAATTAGACCTCTAAACTTTTAAAATGTACAATTAAATACAAAAATATGTTATTTTGGTATATTGAAATTTAAAAACTTATTAGTGACCTATAAGGTTATAATAACACGTTGACCTACTCTGAGGGTTAATACCGACAACTTCGAATGATCTCCGATCGCTTGCCTTCTCCAACGGAGAAAGTTAGGAGAAGGCTTTGGTGATCATTGGTTGCCTTCTAACATTGAGAAGGCGACCAACCCTTTCTCTATGGAGAAAGTGACAGTTGTTGTCTCTTCCAAAGAATGCGATTGACAACCATTCATGAGACCAGTCGCCAGTTTCTTTTCTAATGGCAATCAATGACAGCTAACGGCAGTCAACGGACAGTTAGTAACGATAAATTGAGTTTATTTGACCAATTTTAATACTCCGTAACTCTTTCATATAAAGTTGAAAGATCTATTTGACCATTTTCCCTAAAATAATGAATTTAAAACACTTAATATGGCCCTAGTTTTATTCTCATAAAGCGGCGAACATTATAGCTGGATTTACTTTGAGATCACAGACCTAGATATTTTTTAAGAGTCTCTACACCTTTAATGGATATCTTGCTTGAAAACAACTACAATATTATTATCGTATAATAGCCCACAAACAATATAAAAGAGATAAACTGTACTAAAAAGATCATGTACAACAAACTCAACCCAAAAGTTATTGACAAGAATTGAACTCGTCACCTTTTAATACAAGAATTATACTCCATTCACTCGGCCATCCTTTTCAGGTGGCTTAATCATTTTTCTTGTTTCATAATTTTCATCAACATGAAGATATGTTGGGCTTCATTTAGACCATTCAAATGGTTCAGTAATAAACAGAAGCAGGATTGAAATGACAGCTAATTCTTTTACCAATTAGGATGATGCATGAAAATGAATGTATTCACTGTATGTACTTTCATCAAAGTATAGCCTCATTTGTAAGATCAGAATGGAAGACTTGGAAGGCAGGGTAGAATATATATGGTTGGGAGTCTGAACTGGAGCTTAGTTACCAGCAGTACACCCCCCTCTCAAAAGAGAAAGATCGGACAAAATTAGCTTCTCGTTCTGTCCGCTTCTTGGTTTTGAAATTGCTCTAATATTACGTTACAACTGTTCATGGTGCGGGCGTCGAGGAGACCATGGTTCCATAATTTTATCATGAACAATCTCCAGCACCTGACAGGAAGAACATAATCATGGAAATCAGTACTTGTTGAAGAAATTGTCTATCAAATTATCTTATTTATTCATCTATTTGGTATCAGAGTCATGCCAAAAGTCATGGGTTTGAATCTCCACGTCACCCGATAAAAATATGACCATAACAGAGAAGGAGAATGGCTACCAGAGCAGTGCTGGAGTCCGGCAAAAATCTTGCCCATGCATCTTTGAGAAGGCCTCGCATGCCCAAGCAATATGGCCGTCTGCAAGCACCCTGCATAGTAACAAACAGAAGGCCTTAAAACAGAGAACACATACCAAGTTTCAACTTTATTCGTGCCAATGAGCTCAGAGTTAATTCTCCTTTTTGTCCATATAATGGCAATTTCACTTTAGTACTCCGAGTACAAAACTAGATAAAAGTGATCCCTCAAGGAGGCCTCAATTACTGAAAATTTGACAGAAATGGTCATTCTATTAAGGTTTCGTTGAGAATCCCATTGGAACACGCCCCCTCACGTGTGCGGTGGGTTCCAAGCAATATGTGATCCATCTCAACTAAAAGCCTAAGCTGATAGTTGGATTGCACATTAATGGTTATATGCTCAACAGGAAGGAAATAATTTCCTATACCACTGTATTGTTCCCTGCATCATTTGGAATCAGCAAAAAATGGTCTTTTGCACGAAGGTCTCACCTTTGCTTTCTCACGAATGAATTCCAAAGATGCATCATTTGCTTCTCATCTTTGGTTACATCAACGAAGTCATCAAGCATCTGCATTGTCATCAACTTATAAATAGCAAGAAAGAGAATCGAAACAAAAAATATTTTAAACAGTTTTGCATGCCAAAGGAAATGAAGTCATGACTGCTGCTACTTGTGGGTTCAGAAACAGAAGGCCTAATAAATTTTCAGTTCACAACAATTGAAAATTGCTAAGTGCGAGTAAGATAATTTCAGCCCAAGGATCCACATTTTTGCCTGACACTATTATAAATTTCCACAAACAATCAAGAAACTAAAATAGTAAGAAAACTCGTATTTTTGTATGGATTAATGGAATTAATTGTACTTGTGAAAAGTTTGACAACTATGATGAGAACTAAGGCATACCCTCCGGTCTTCGAGATCAGCAACATCATCGTCAACTTCATCCTCACTGTCCCGGTCTGATAAAACTTGTTCCATTGCCATAGGCTTCCCCAATTGGAAAAAGTGTAAAGAAAATATTTTAGTAGGTCAAGTTGCACTTGATCCCAAAAAAGTTAATAAGCATGAATCTTTTTTTGAAAGTTAATAAGCATGAATCTAAATGGTCTATATTTTAGTTATTTAACAATAAGTCATATTCAGCATAAACATTTTCGTCAAGGAGGACAAGAGGAATACAAAAAATGATTTCAGAAACCATGGGAACATGTATATTTCAATCATCACCTGGGCTCGGTGTGAGTGAAAGAATTGTCTCTTCTGCAGGAGTGTGCGGCTTTAAGTGGGAAAGGCAAGCCAAAGAAAGAAAAGTTAGTTAGGTATGATAAGTGATAAAACACTAAGCCTTATTAAAAATTCATGGCAAAGAACAAGGGCAAATACAATGAAGTTCCTGCTCTAGTACCAAAGCACTGTTCAAAGTTATGTGTAATAATCGCCAGCACATATAGTTGCATACTTCCATGTTTAACAACATCCTAGAAAAATTTCTTACAATGTTATACCATTTTTCCAAAAGTGAACCAAGTTTGAACTGCCACAAGGGAAAGAAGGTGTGTGTGTGTGTGTGTGTTGGGGGGGTGGGGGTGGTAGTGGGTGGAGGTGTGCACACACATATCTTGTTAAGTAACTAGTTCCCTGCTTAACCCTAAACAACAATCTAGAAAAAATTTCCTTCAATTTGTAGAATTACGGTAAACAAAGACATTATGGAGTGCGTCAATGCAAAGAGGGGGAAGAGGCTGATATATTGTTTTAAGAACCCCACAAAGGGGAAGCTGACTATGCTTTGAATTAGGCACCAGATATCTGCATAGACAATCAAATGCGTAAATGATTTATTTGAAGTTAAAAAATTGTCTCTCTTCAATCATAAGTAAATTTAGTGTCTGAACAAGCTCCTGAAATATTCAGGCCCATATGAAACAGATGTGATATAATCGTGAGCAAATGAAAGTAGCATTATGACAGAGAAATCTTGCACCAGGAGTCCAGGACACATACTTTCTTGGATCGGAGCGCTCAACTGATAACTTCCTGGTCTTTGCAAATTGAAGCATTGCTGGTGGTGCAAGACTGCTTCCAGGCAATGATTGCATACAATCGGGATCTGGATATGAATGTCCTGTGGCTGATGAAACACCTGTAGCATTGGGACTTGATGCGTCACAGTCCATGATACCTGCTAAAACCTCACAAATGAATCAACTTAAAATGAATAGCACACATATCACAAAATTATTGTATTTAAAGCCTGCCTGAGAAATGAAGCAAGTTAATTCTGAGTGACATAAATTCCAACTCTGAAGAAGGGAGAGGGGACTAATACTAAAAGCTAATAGATTAATGCAAGTCATCATAGGGAGATAATAGAAACATAAAGATATCCAGAAAAGTATTTTTCAAGTAATAGAGCTATTAAAGTGTGGGTCTGGCCGAACAACATAAGAATAATAACAACTGGAAAAGTTTAGTCATGAAATCCTATAATGCTCAGATTTTATTTTTCAAGCTTAAAGTGTTCATACCATCATTCTTGACCTGAAGCTCATTAACTGTTGTAGGGAAATCTGAATCAAAGACTAGTGGATGTACATGTTTTGCATTCTGAACTACACTTTGTGATTTTCTGCGTCGACAGGGCCTTGAACTGCATGCAAAGTGCGTAGCCATTCATTCACTTTGAGCACTCATGTCATCATAATGAAACAAAATTAGATACTATTACATACCACAAGAAAAATGTTTGTTGCTTGGGATCAACACCATCAGCAATTATCTGAGACATTAATCATACAAGTCTCAGTAACATTTGCAAAATCCTTAAAGGCACTATCAAAACTTCACATCTACCAATATATGAATTCAATAATGATAATATACAAAAACATTTCAAATTCACCTTACCACGTCCAATTTCTATACCACACCAGATGAGTTCATCTTAAAAATAAATAAATAAATAAATAAATAAGATAATTTGATAGATGAGGTGTAGGCAAGTAGGGAAGGCTACACATTATTCACAGCATGATATTCTTCAGTTACTTCTGGCAGAGAGTCCCTTTAATTTAGTTTTCTCACCTCAGATCTCCATGCATCAGTTTTAACAGACACATTTACGGCCTGATAATCTTCAGTAACCTACAATTTATAATGCAATTAGAATTATAGAGCTTGGAGAAAAAAATAGCAAAATGTGCTGGACTTGCTAAGTTTTACCAACCCAAAATTCAAAATTGAATAGATCATGACAGGAGGATAAGTGATATCTCAGACCCTAAAAAACACAAAAGAAAAATGCTTGTAAGAACAAATAGAAAACACCTCAATTTCATTAGTAGCCACATAACTAGGAAACGAAAACAGCATCTGTCACCTTAAAGCTTGCACATTTCACCAAGCAGAAAGGACAAGTGAAATCTTCTGTCACTGCCAGATTCAATAGAAATGAAGTCAATATTTTATATCATTCA